GGATGGTTCTGGATCATGTAAGTATTTTTAGTCTTGATCTTTTGTCCTATATTTGCTGCTTTAAGTAGAGGTTTTTAGGCTGCTATTGCTGCTTGTTAAAGAAAACTAGACTGTCACTCTGTTCATGCCTAGAAATGTTTAATGCCCATCTGTCTTGACAGGACGGTGCAGATAAGCCTGAAAAAGCGGAGCCTTCTTCCTCTTCTCAGTCTTCTAAGCCAGCTGATGTCAAAGCCTCCCCAAAAAGCTCCCCCAAGCAGTCCCAGAAACCAGCTTCTCCAAAATCGACTGAGGTGATTGATTTGATTTAAATGAATGCTTTCACTTGGGGTTTTACATTTTAGTGGGAGGAATCCTCCATTTCTTATGTTTCATTTGAGTCATGTGGCATTTTGTGACATTAGCTGCCCCATAGAGACATGAGGCAGCATTTGTTTGTTGGGTAATGCTGCAGTACCCATTACATTGATAATACTTGACATGACTTCTTGGGTATTTGCAGCTTTAATTATTATTACTATTATGAAGCTTATATATCTGTCAGTGCTGAAACTTACCTTGGCAGGAAAGACTATAAGCATAAGTGATCACATTTACCAACTCAAGTGGTACATCACACTGGATTCTTGGTGCATCTGACACTATGGAAACTGTCTCCTCAGACGCCTGCTGCCCCTGTGGAATGACTTCTGTGATCTGGAAGGAATCTTCTGACCCCGGGAAGAGGTAGGGACACAGATAATCGGTGCTGTATTTTCAAGAAGTTAAGGCTTTTTGGCGCCGCACTAATCGGTCATTGCCCGGCTAGAGCTCATTGACTAGAAGCATTTCTGCCAACCAGGTAGACGCAAAGTAGTGAGTGCAGCCTGTAGTCTATTAAAATGTGTAGTGGGAAATTCAAATATTAAGTACATGTGGGGTGCTGTGTCCAGCTTGACAGCTCTCTTCTCTGCTCCCCCTTGCAAACCACAGTCATGATTTCTGTCCAAGGCGAGGCTCAGCCAGTCTCGTATAAGCCCATATGTGCTAGATGTTATCTTGTAAAAGCAATACATGTCATCTTAAACCTTTGGTGCCGGATTGGGGTGGGGTCAGTCCCCCTCTAAAACATGCCCTCAGATTCTACTTGTCTGTTTTCTTAACATCCAGAGTTATTAAAAACCAAAAAAAGTAGCAAAACAAGTTATCTAGTAAAATGCTATCAGCTAATGGAAGTGTTACCCTTGCTTATTTTTACTACATGTGATGTGCTGTCTGCACGTGATACACATCTGCATGCTTCAGTGGAGGTTTTTGGAGGACTTTTCAGCCATGTTGACTCGTGTTACATCTACAAGGGCTAGCGACAGGCTTGTTGAGTGCCTGACCATAGTTTGAGGTCCACCTCCACAACATGTTGGTGGTTTTGAAATTTCAAACTCAATTTATTTCCACTTTTGCTATGCCCTTCATGCTCTCATTCACATTTTGCCCTAAATTTCTCATGGTTGTCTCCAGGTGTGCTTGTAATGAGGTCACGACTAGCAAAACTACAAATTATAGAACTGCAGTGTACGTTTACTGTTGTAGCTGAAATGCGGTGGATAAACTACAGTGAAAATGCATATTAATATGGGGGACGTCATCATAGTTCACTTTACTTCAGGTTTTTAAAATTCTCGTTTTGAAAATGATTTAAAGGTAATTAGTCTAAAGTTTTATTAACCCAATTCCAAAAAAGTTGGGATAGTATGTGAAGTGCCAGTAAAAACAGTGATTTGTAAATTTTAGTTTTACATGTAAAATTGAAATCGGTACAGAAACACATTTAAATTTTTACTTTTTGAACTTTGTTTTAATATAGAGTGTGTGTGTGTGTGTGTGTGTGTGTGTGTGTGTGTGTGTGTGTGTGTGTGTGTATTCCAAATATAACATCCAAAAAAAAGTTGGGACAGGAGCAGTTTTACCACTGTTACATCACCTTTCCTTTTAACAGCACTTAATATATGTTTGGGGACTGAAGGACACCTATTGATCCAGTTTTTTATATATATATATATAACAAGTTTTCAGCTGTACAAACCATACATGGCTTTGTCATATGGCTTAATGTGTCACATTTCCAATAGATGACTGGCAAGCCTGTCTAGCACCCACACTCTACACAGCAGTGCTGTAACACGTGCAGAATGTTTCTTGGAATTGCCATGTTGAGATACATATGAATGTCACTGAAAAGACTTGAGCTAAAAGGCAGCATATGTTGCTCCAGAATGTGTCTTTCAGTGTTAATGGTGCTTTCACAGATGTTCGAGTTGCCCATTAATTCCTCCTCCCCATAGCATGACACCCTGGCTTTCAAACTTATGTATGCTGCTAACAATCTGTGTAGTACTTTGTGTTCTCTGAGCTAAAGAAGTAATGTCCATTATTTCCATAAACAATCTTAAAGGGTGTAGAACTTGACCACAACACGTTTCCACTGTACATCAGTGTGTTTCAGAGGAACTGTAGTACAGAGAAGTGTTTCTAGATGTTGATGGTTTCCACTGTGCATAGTACAGTAACTTGCGTGTGTGGATGCAGCGACGAACAGAAGCATGCTGATGTTGTGGGCATTCAGTTGTGGTTTTTGACTAGTTGGTACACAGAATCCACTTTCACAAGCTAGACTGGAGCCGGATGTTTTAGAGTGGCAAGTTTTTACTTTGTAGCTCTTGAAAGTGAATGCCAAGCTGGCCAGTAGATGGGCAGTAAGGATTGTTACAAGATTGCGTCATTGTGTAACAAAGGAAAAGGGCTGGAATTCCAACAAGGTGTTTCAGGCAGCTGAGAAAAGTAGTTTCTGGGGGAGAGTTACTCCCTCTGGTGTGTACTTTGGGATTTGTGCAGACCATTTACATGCACACAGTTATATCTAACACACTAATGGAAAGGGGGAAAAACCAAGAGTATAATCTGTCCCCTTTAACAACATGCATAGTCTTAAATTGCCCCTGTCCCAACTTTTTGGGTTAAATTTTACAAAAAATAAAGTTGATGAGAATATTAAATCTTTGTTTTTTTTTTAAATACAGGTAAAAGTGGATTTACAGATCACTGCTACTGTCCTGACTTTTTTTGGAATTGGGTTTGTAAATGGAGATCTGAAAATGAGGGGAAAGAAAAACATAAAATACCTTTTGAGGAATTCAGAGTGAAATAAGGGCACCTCAATCCTCAACAGCGATAGATTAGTGTGTGCAGTTTATAAACATGGACAACCTTTTCAGTTGTCACACTTTGTTTTCAGACTGCTTTAAACTTTTTGTTCTCCTTTGCTTTGTTGATCTCTGCTGTCTCCACCCTACTGGTCCTACTGTTTCTCTTGTTTTTGTGTTGCTCTGTAGGTCCCCGGGTGGGTTAGCTGGGGTGGTTGGACCTCGCCTGTCTCAAACACAGAACTGATGTGCACACAACTCTTCCCTCCCCCCCCACACCTCTTCTCTGTGCCCTTTAGTCTGGACCCTTCATTTGTGCGAGATGGCAGGATGGAGAGAGGGAGGGGGGAGGAGGGGTGATTAGTAACTTTTGGACTTTAAAATCTTTAGGGGATCACAAATGTATAGACTTGCTCAAAATGCCCAACATATTTGCATCATCTCCCCTGTAGTTCAGTGATATGGGTGTGAGCAGTTGAAATGAGAACCAGTTTGGCCCTTTAAGTTTGACAATTGGTAGGGGGATACTATATGAAAGTGTAAGAGGGGTACTGTATGCCTCCACTTCCCTTATCAGTGACAAGATGAGAATTACTACAGGCATTCATAAAAGATAAAAACTGGTTGATATATTTTTTTTCTTTCTTTTTTCTTTTGTTGGTCTTTTTATGTGTTTTTCTTTGGAGGGGATTATGTGCAATGTCAAAGTGAAGTATCTATTAAAAAAAGTTTGCAAAACAGTTCTGACTCTTGTGTTGACATCTTATGGTCTTATTGTCTTTACCAGTTTTTGTTAGACAGGTTGATTAGGACATGTTTTAGGAGTTCTACATTTATTATACTGTGTGTACAGCCATATGCCTGCAAAAGCTGCATGAACAGGCATAGAATGAGGCTGATTTCACTGTTTACCCATCTTCCACTTTGATATGTATTCTAGAAGCGGCAGTTTGGTGTAGACTATTTAAAAGAATATGACCACGATGCTGACATCCTGGTACAGCTACAATGACAGTCATGGTATTTGACACTGAGTGAAAGTGAAACTGCTGCTATTACTGCTGTACAAAACAATTTATCACTAATGTCAGTGATACAGAAAGCTTCTGCCAGCCAGAAACAGGTTTGTTCTGATCTCTTCTTATGTCTGTCCTTAGTGTGCAATTGCACAAGGTGTTTGGGAAAACAAGACACTTGCTTCAGAACTGGAAGTGATTCTTATTATCTGAATTTGCCCTACCCAGCATAATAGAATTTCAGGTTAGTGACATAAGCGATATAAAATGTGGCTCCACCAGTGTACTATGGGTTACTCATTGCTAATGCTATTTATTTTAGGCACCTGTTCACACAGTTCTCTTGCTATTGTTAAATTAGGACTTCTATATATAACTTGCATGAAATAACAGTCTTAATTCCACAACATAAAAGCTTTAACATTCACATCACTGAGACAAGCCTTACAAACACAATACAGAACCAAATAGCAAAATTAAAGGTCCTTTTTTTCCCCCTCCTTCTATAATATCTGTATAAATCTCTGTCCAAGGCTGGATTGCTTGACAACATAAGTAACATGCTCATTTTTTCTGTAATGTCACAGAGGTGCTAAGCTCATCTTATTTCTTCCCCCTACCAGTTTCAAAAATAAAAACATCACTCTAAAAAAAAAAAAAAAAAAAGTGGTTCGCAAACCAGTTTCAGGAGCCCCCAAGATGGTCCATGTTTGCCTATGCCTAGGAATTGGGATCAAGCAAAATGTGGGACGGTCTGGGGGGCCTTGAGGACTGGTTTGAGAACCACTGCTCTAAACATTAGGCACTCGGAACAGGTTTTTTATTCTATGATGCAAAATTAGCAATTATGTGTAGTATCATGCATCAGATTACAAAAGCTTGGTGTTAAGCATTAGTCTAGTTTGTTACAACTTCAGAAACACATTTTGTTGAAAAGCTTAAAGCTAAATATGCATCATGAATATGAACCAGCAGTAAGCATCTACATAGAATTATCAGTGTAAGTATAAATATACAAACATAACTGGCTTTTCATCTCAACACTCAAAACAATGTGCAGATAAAGTGCAGGAATCCAAGTCTCCAAAGTCTTTTTCTCTGAAACACCTCTACACCCTGTCCTATAGAAGTACAGAAGTACTACCTGTGTCTTATTTGTAATGTACATTTAGTTCCCCTTAAAGCCCCCTACCCAAGGCCATCTGACTGTATTCTCTTTGACAGGTCTCCTTCCACCTCCTGGGCCTCAGTGTTCTGTCCCGTCTGCTCCTAGGTATTCCAACTCTGTACTGGGCTTGTCTAATTCCATGTCCAGATCCATGTCCATCATGGTTTGCGGGTGGCGGTGGAAGTTGGCAGAAATCTGGTCGAAGGTCTTTCCTCGTGTCTCGGGAACTCGGAAGAAGGTGAACAGCAAGAAGCACAAGAGGAGTGCAGCAAAGATGAGGAAGACATATGGGCCACAGAGGTTCTATAGCATAAAGAGAGACAATAAAGGTTCAATGACTTAAGTAGTACAGTATGGCTTTAGGATATAGACATTGTGTTGCAGCACATTAAACTGTGGTATGCCTTGCTACAGGCATGTGCACAGAAAGGCCACTAGGGGAGCCTACCCTTGTGCCTTCATAGTATGCTACTGCCCATTTGGTTAGCATGTATAATAGGCACAATTTGCTCAGCTTTGCACCATGAATGAAGCTTGTGGGTGAGCTCAGGTTCAACGAACTTAGTCTCTCTTAGGCATCTCCCTCTACATCTCCCCCTGTGAAGATTCACTCGAAAGAGGCCCTGAATATTCTGTAAATAACTCTCACTAGGACAAAGCAACCTGAACGAAACGATATGCAACGTGCTCCTCAGTATATGGAGCTTCAAACAGGCCGGTATGCCCCTGCGTCGGAGCGATGAGGTAGGTGCCACACAGCCGTCGCAACATTTAACCTGGTTGGGTGCATACCCCCGTACCCCTACACTCAGTCACTTGACTTCTTATCAGGATGGTGGTATACAGTATTGAGCAGCACGTCAAAGTATGTAGCGTAATTTTTTGGTTCAGACTGCTTCATCCTAATGGGAGTTACAACAGAATATTTGGGGCCTCTTTCGAGTGAATCTCCCTGTAGTTATGTAGCATAGTAGACACAAAGTATGCTGGAGACTGGGGTTTAATTCCCCACTCAGGCAGTAAGGTGAAAGTTGGGAAAGACTGCTAACACTAGCTTTGCTTTTCTCTGAAACATCAGTGTTTGTCTGGATAAGAATTTCTGTCATATGATGTCAAAAAAAAAAAAAAATAATTCAGATTGCCCTTTTTCATTTGAGCCCCTTCCCCCCAAAATGCCTGTGTGCAAGCCTGCCTTGCAGTATATTAAAACCATATTGATTAACCAGTAATGTGACCTGCTTAAAGGCTGGCCTGCACTATTTTGACCTTATGATTTCCCTTTGCTGGATGATGTAGAAGCCCTGATTCACCCACAGAAACTCGTATGTAATGTGTGAGAACTGGTCAAGATGCACATAGCACACAATAAAACATTTACTGATCCCAAGACAATATTGCAATAACAATTACCACAATTAATTCCAAACAGACAATGACCAAGTATCATCTTAAACTGTTAACAGTTATCATTGCTGAAAAACATCTATTCTGCCACATATTCAGTAAAAATGTAATTGTATTTGTAATTACAGCAATGTACTGGAAACCCATGCCAATGATGAAGTTTGCAGTCCAGTTGGAGCATCCAGCCACTGCCATAGCTGCAGGCCTGGGCCCTTGAGAAAAGAGCTCAGCCACAAAAAACCAGGGAATGGGTCCTGGTCCCACCTCAAAGAAAGCCACAAAGCCGAAGATGGCCAGCATGCTGATGTAGCTCATCCATGGCACACCTTCCTAGTTAACAGCCAACCATTACAAAGGGAAAAAAGATAAAGGTGAGTCTCAGAAACAAGAAACAGACACCTAAAAGTGATTCAAAAGATTACAAATCTAAAAACCTAGTGTATCCATTTTTGCCATTTTTCTAACATAATTCGAAAAAACACCAGTTGCTCTTTACATTGTGTAAAAATATCATGGTGAATGGATTAAAACAGTCTATAAAAAAATAGTCTATAGTTTTCTTGTATTTTGTACTTTTCCTTGAGGACGACTTTTGCTGTTTGTGTGATATGTCCACTTTCCAAGAGGCATTTTCTTGATTTTTGCATATCTTCTTAAAGTCACCTTTAAAGGCACTTGCATATAACATGATTTTCATATGTTTCATATCAAAATGCTCCATTATCTTTGTCACTACTTTCCAAACTGCTGCAGCAGCTTCAGCAGCTGTAAACTCTTTCTAAGCCATATCACAGATGTCTCAGATGTTGACAATGTAGAATGAAGGATTTCGGACATGGTGGGTAAGTCCTTAGTGATTTCCTGTCCATTGGTCAGTTTCACACTAAATGTAGACGACACACAAATCCACCAATTACACAAGGTCAGAGGCAGATGACGTGTATCTCAACCCCTCTTCACAGCCTCATAACTTCAAATGTGTGTCACATACGATCTTGCGATAAGAGGGAATGGAAAGGGTGACTATATAGATTTAGAAAATGTTTGAACTGTATTTCTCTGCTGTATTATCATGAAAATACAGAAACATATATAGAAACATTGAATTTGATGTGTGGGTGAGTTTGTGGACCCCAGAGGGTTAACAAGCTGTTTTCTTTACTGTGCCTTTAAGACAGATGTAAGTGATACAACAGATTTGATTGGCTGGCTAGTATTGCACCTCCAGGCTAAAACACTCCTTATAACTTCAGTGTGAATGGGTGGGGCTAAAGTTCTGTAGGTTAAACAGGCAGATGTATGACATCACAAAAAAACAATCAATTCAAATTTTTTGCAGTTTAGTTTCCATGTATGGGCTGTAAGGACTGGGGAGCGAACAATATGTTTGGAAACTAGTCTTGATACCCCAGATATCAAAAGGATTTCAGTTTATATTTAAGTGAAGGACTTACCAATAAGTTGAGAGCAATTGTCATGACAATTGCACACACACACATTCCAGCCAGTCCGAGCATGTGCAGTGTCCGTCGACCCATCCTCTCCACCAGGAAAAGCTGTTGAGCAGATAGCGTTCATTAGCAAAGTGATCTAGAATTAACAGTGAAGATATTTACCTGTGTTTTGTATTTTTTGTTGGCTAACCAGTTAGGTAGCTTTAAGAGGCTCTATTACATGAAACTGTCTCCTAGTGGAATATAACATAACTTGACACCAATGATTTGCATTCTTACATACAGCAAATGGTTACAATTTTTAAATAAAGCAAAAGCTATTTAGATATGATATTCAGATTTTATAAAAAGTACCACCCAAACAAATGTGAGCCTAAGAACCGAAACCAATCATTACTGCAAACATGAATTCAGTTGAAAAGCTCACAATGGTTCAGTAGAAATGCCAGTAGATTTATTTTTATTATAAATCTATTTATTATTAGTATTATTATTTTGCTAAAGTTTACTGCTATTTATTTTGCCCTTGGAAATCATCCATTTGAACATTGTTTCAAATAATAACATGTTTAAAAATGCCTATACTCTCATTTTGTAATTTCTCAAATGTCATCATAAGTGGGTTATGAATACTTTTTTTAGTTTAGTTCATTAATGAAGATCATTTAACATTGCCTTCTCTACTTTTTCCATGCCTAATGACATTAAAATGCCATGACCTAGTAACGAGGTAGCAATTTTGCCCTCTTATCTTGTTTGTTCTTAGATAAAACACGTTAAAGAGTAATGGGACATAGGTTTGCAAGCAGTACCGAGACCACAGTGAAAGCACAGTTGACAACTCCAGCACCTATGGTGGCAAAGACTGGACTCTCCACTCCAGCCTTCTGGAATATGCTGGTGGAATAGTAGAAAATCTGGGGGGGGGCAAAATTACAGAAGTGTTTTAGTAATAAAGTTTATAAATGTCCATAATTTACAGTTATTGGAGGTGACAGTTGAGTAGGGCATAACATTCTCACTGGTGTTCCTCAGACCTCTCTATATCACAAAAATAGCTGTTTCAGTAGATTGAATTTAATATCACAAATACTCAACATCTTGATTATTGTAGTGAAGCGTTCATTTTCAAATAGCAGAGCACCAACCCACTGTAGGCCATTTATCTGTATTTAACAGTGGACAATACGTCAGAAATATACCATCATGACACATGAAGACATTTCCATGGTACACAATATGTATCATGATTTAAGTATTTAATTTATTTTATGTTTGTGAACAGCTGGATCGTACAAAATGCACCAGCAAAGCAGGAGCACCACATTTAAAAAAGGCTATGAACACTGGCTGTTGCTGTTTACAGGCTCCCTATAATTGGGTTAACTTATGATACATGCAGTTTGTTGTTATAGAAGTTCTGATGATACCTATGACATACTCCAAAAAATGTACAATACTGTGCAAAAGTCAGAGACCATCCTTCATTTAATTTCTAGTCAAAACAGCCTTTAGGTACAAATAATTCATTTTTCCAAGCAGAAAGCAGAAAACATATATTTTACCAAAATTTACACAGAAGCATCAACTGAATATAATATATATATTTTTTTTGTATATGGATCCCCCTTTGCCTTTAATACAGCTTCCATTTTCTTAGGGAGACTTGCTTTCAGTTCTTGAAAAAAATCTGCAGGGATATTTTTCCACACCTCCAAAGTTTTTAAAATTCCAGTCAAATTTTGTTGCACTTTCTGCCTCTCACAAAGTAATCCCAAAAACATTCAATGATAATGAGGTCTGGACTCTGGGATGGTCAGTCTACTGTTCTGAGAACACCAGCAGCAGCAGCTATCATTGTCTCAGTAACAGCTTCTTGACAGCTACACATCCTTTCAGACTCATAGTAATAAGTTATTTTCTTACAGTGGGAGGATGGACAGAAACACCTGTGGATTTGTTTCAGATCTGAAGTACGAGTGGAGCTTGATTTTCTCCTCCCTCTCAAAGATGAAAGCTTTAAGTACTGTTTATCTGATGGTGACAGTTTTGGTGGTTTACCATATCTTGCATAGTTGTTAAGACTCCCATTTTTTCTATATCTTTTAATCATTCATAAAAACTCAGTTTTGGAAACTCCTATCTTTGACCTTGACTCATGTAAGTGGATTATCAGCTACCTAATCTCCCTGGAGGCCGAATAACTTGTACATAATGGCTGTTCTGACTGGATTTTAACTAAAGGGTTGTTGCTGAATTTTGCACAACACTGTATTTTGATGGATTTGATGGAATTGATGATATATTATACTCCCCACTCCTGAGCCACAACCAAATATCACTGAGTTTTGGTGTTCCAGCTGACTCCTTGCTCATATAGAAACAGTTGCACTCATTACTCACAGCATTGATTCCTGACAGCTGTTGAGAGAGCTGCAGTAGAATGGCTATGATCATGGGCTGCCTGTAGAGCGGAGAGCGGAAAAGCTCGGCAATCGACACCTTCCTCTCCATGTCCATCCTCCTCTTCTCCTCCTTCATTTCTGCCAAGTCCTCACTCACGTCCAACCGCCCCGTAAGCCGTCTCAGGCCTGAGTGGGACATAGCAGAATACATGTGTGTTCAATGTATATTGATATTTAGATGTCACTAAGGCAACAGTACCCAATTCATGGTCCCAGAGTAGCTCTGCTTATTTTGGTGTTTTCCCTGCTGTAACACATATGATCTGACTATACAGCTATAATTTACAAACTCTATTTGAGTTAAAGTGGGTGTGTTACAGCAGGAAAACCATTGGAATATCCACAAGGGCATTGGTAGTACTTCACAAACCGAAAGCAACTAATGTTAATAGGACTGCATTTAAATAGCCTTTTTGTTCATACATTTTGTCCAAACAGTTCTTATTAGACACGGCACTGGTTATACTGCTGAATCAGAACCAAAACCTGAGTTACTTCTAGACTGTAAATCAGGTGTTCACTGCATGAACAAAATGTAGAAATAGGCTATTAAATATTCAGTATTCAAATGCTCCATTTTTTAAATAAGAAATTTAAAAATATTGGATTCATAAGCAACAGACCATTGAGTTTGACAGCTCTATGCATGAGCAGGTGGAGGAGGGAGGGGAATCTTCAGTGAGACCAGAATACAGATATAATTGCAAAGAAGTTTCAAAAACCTCCTGCTTCCATCTGGCTTAAAAATGAAGAAGTGGGATTTCCATCGTACCTCCCATGACTAATACAACCAAACTCTCGAACTTCAAGTAATTGTTAATAAGCCGAGTCAAGAGTAGTCTAGAGTAAAAGACCTACACTGCCGTTAAAGAGTATGGAACCACTTTATACCATCATATTAATAATTGTTATTCAATAGTAACTGTAGATCGAAATGCCATAACTATATACCAAAACACAAACCAATGATTTAATCACAGTTTGTAGTATTTTGGCAACAACAAGAAGTTGTCATTTTCTGACATAAAAACTATGAATAGCGATTTGATCTGTAAATTCATTTTATTATAAATTCACTCTTAATGCTATATAGCATTCTCATTTATTATGGAATCATCTGCAGCTCTGCCCATCATCAACAGTGTCTTCATTTTTACAGCTGAGCCCCAGAAATGATAATAGAAACAAATGCTGCAAAAAATGTAGTCTTCATTTTTTTGAGAAGTCGCTGTGTGGATGAGTGTATTTTGTACTGAGGCTTTATTTGGTGAGGCTTCCAAACTCCTTTTTAGCACAGTGTGATTTATTTGGTGTGTCACCTCACCACTCTTGGCATGGTGCTCCTGGCAGCGTATGATGTAAAGGAAACGTGGGCTTTCTGGACAGAAGGGCAACAACGCCATCTGGAGGACCGTAGGGATCACTGTAATGCCCATCAACACAGGCCATAACTCCTCACTGCCCAGCAAAGACTCAAGGCCTAAAATCTGTAGAGGAAGAAATTACTGATAATGACTTTTTAACTGAATTAGGCATTATGACTGCCTAAAGTCATTAAAGCTATGTAGCATAGCATTACATGTCACTAACAATCAGTTTACAAGTCGCTGGGACGCTGTGCAAAATGTAAAAAACAGAATGCAATGTCATACAAATCATTTAAACTCACGTTGAACTGAAATTAGTAAAAAGGCAACATATCAACTGTTGAAACTGAGAATTGGTTTTGGTTTTTGAAAAATACATTTAAACATGCTCATTTAAAATGTAATGCCAGCAACACATTTAAAAAAGAGTTGGGACGGGGGCATGTTTACCACTGTGTTGCATCATCTGTTCTTGTAACAGCACTCTGTAGGTGTTTGGGTACTGAGGAGACCAATTTCTCCAGTTTTAAAAGTCAAGTGTTTTCCCATTCCTTCCTTTTATAGGATTTCAGCTGCTCAACAGTTTGGGGTCTCCTTTGTTGTATTTTCATTTTATAATTCACATAAAGTCTTCGATGATTGACAGGTCTGGACTGCAGGCAGGGCAGGTTAGTATCCAGACTGTTTTAGTACAGAGACATGCTGTGGTAATGTTGTGTTCCCATTTCCACTATAGAATCATGTCTAATTTTAATGCAGTGCCGTCTGAGGGCTTGAAGATCATGGCCGGAATTATATTCTGATACTGGAATGATATTATGTACCGTAGATGATGAGTTCTTTGCTATTTTATGTTGATAAATGTTACTCTTGAACTGTTGTACTATTTGCCCCCACACTCTTTCACAGAGTGCTGAACCCCTCCCCACCTTTCCTTCTGAAAGGCTCAGCCTCTCTGAGATGCTCTTTTTATACCCAATCATGTTACTGACCAGTTGACAATTTAACCTAATTAGCTGTGAGATGAACCACAGTGCATTTTTTAGCATAACCCAACTTTACCAGTCTTTTGTTGCCCCTGTCCCAACTTGTTTAATGTCCTGCTGTCATGAAATTCAAAATGGGCATATATTTTTCAAAAAATATACAAAAGTCTCAGTTTTTCAGATATGTTGTCTTTGTACTGTTTTCAGTTAAATATAGGGTTTAAATGATTGCATATGATCACATTCTGTTTTTATTTACATTTTGCACAGCGTCTCAACTGTTTTTTTGGAAATGGGGTTGTACAATTACCCCCTAAAAAATTAAGGTTCCTAAGTGGTTCACTGTTATAAAAAATTTAATGGGGATAGAACCTTTACATTATATTATCTTAAAAAGTTATTATTATTATTTTTTTTTACAAAAATGCTTCTTGAGAGTGATGTATGAAATCTGTTTAGGCAGAAAGAGTTAGGGCAGTGTCAGTGTACCTGAGCAATCAGTATTCCAGTGACGATGGCTAGCTGGTGCAGTGTGCCCAAAGCTCCTCTCAGATTGGTGGGTGAAATCTCCCCCACATACATGGGCACCAGCCCTGATGCCAACCCTAAGAAAAGATCATTTAGAGATGCTTTGGTTTATATCAGATGTCAAACATACATGTAAATCTTGATTCCTGAATATTTGAGTCCTGTCAACTCAACCATGTAGATGAATTTATGTCCAGTAGACAGCAATATGTAAACAGCACTAATACCAAATTTGGAAATTCTATTTTCTTTGTGGATCAGAATGTTGTTATTTCTGAAAAAGAAGAATTAAATCATATCTGTTAATTCTGGACAACAAAACAGTGGGACCCATCTATGGGTCATACTTACCCAGATGAACAATTTATTAAAACTGTTCTTAGATGCCTTAGGAAAAGCCTGGGCTTACACTATATTCTCAGATGTTGTAGGTGTAAGATATGGTTTCACTTGTTGTTTCTTTAAGGTGAAAATTACTCAAAGCTGTGAGCTTTCTCTGCATTTGCTTTACCTTCCACTGTAAACATCTCATTTGGTAAAATCACTTGGACTATTATGCGATTACCAGCTCAAATGAAAATGTAAAAAAAAGAAACAGAACGAGATAAATAGAATTCTCTCATTTTTGTTTCTTATCATATTTTCAAGAAAAAAATAACTGCTCCTGTAAATATTAACTTGTTAGACCACAAGCAGAAGTGTAGAGAGGAAATCAGTAAGTCAATACTGATATACTCACCCCTGCTAACTGTATGATAAAGTTGGTTGGTCCTCACTAGCAGCATGACAGGAAACACTGCCTTATTTTTATTTAAAAATCTTGTCTTGTCTACGATCTCTATAAATAACAGTAATTATAAGAGCTGCTCTAGTGACTGGATCACCTGTCAGGTACCTGGAGTTTTTACTGAACTGGGAAAATTTGCTTTTAGCTACATGGTGGAAAAAACCTTGTATCTCCTTTTTTGTCCAGTTTTTCTTTCTTTGTTTTTTACCTAATGTGTCATAATGAATGGACCAATAGAAATGTTTGAAATAAAATCTCCTTACATTAGCTTATATTGAAAGTTGCCATTTTGGAGATACAAGGTTTTGGTTCAACAGCGACCAGATGTTCAATGTATGTCATAAGAAAAATAAGATAGTCAGGGGACTTAAACACACAGTGTTTTATGTAAACATGTGATCTTAATCATGTTTTACTGGCTGTGACTACCAGTTGCTTTACATTGCCTGATCTTATTTTATTAAATCTTCCATGAAGCTTGCAGACATATTAATAGCAAAGTGTTCAATCTCCACAATTTTCAGTGAAGTAATGATTAATAGAGACCGTAAGAAAAGCATTTTTCTCACAAACCTTTTAGCTCTGAGTTGGTATGTATGATATTAAATAGCTTTCTTTGACAGTATTAGCATTTAAAAAGCAGGACTTACCACAATAGGCCCCGATAGTGAAGCGTCCTAAAATCATCATCTCGAACGATTGGCTGATTTTAGACATCCCCATCAAACCTCCTCCAATGAACGCCAGGAGATTATTGATGAGCATTGCTTTCCTCCTGTCAAAACAGATGCATTGATGTTACAAAGATGACCATACTGTACAGTGAGGGGCACCTTAAAGTAGCTGAATTCACTAATAGGTTTCTGGATACCTTTAGACATATAGTGTAGTGATCATTGGTACTATTAGAGACAATATAGAGAAGTTGCTCCTTCCTCCACAGTATTTGGGCCTGCAGAGGGGTGTCAACCTGCAGAATTGGGTGTGATCCCAGCTTTAACAAACCTGATTCAGCTCAGCTAATTGTCAGTCATTTTGTAAATTGAATCATAAACCCTAACTGCTGTACCTCTGACTGTCTGACTGTCATGTAACCTATAAAGCTCAAAGCTTTTTTTCCCTTTATCTGGTCAGATTTAACACTTAAAATCTAAGGCTCACTACATCGTTACACCAAGGCTTATTACTCAGTAACTACATGGACTACACTGCAAACTGGATAAGTTATTACAGTATAATCAAAGCACCAAAAAGCGTTCTTTTATTAGTACAAAGTTTCACATTGTAAAAAAATAGCTTTGTGGTGCTATATAGAACCCTTTCCAAAAAAGACCATCTACAGCACACTGTCGAGCAATCTGAAGAACCATTTCATGATGCAGAGAACCCTTTAAACATGCAAAGCGTTCTTTGAGTGTTCATGGTTCTATATAGAACCATTTTCTTTACTAAAGAACCCTTAAAGAACTCTCTTTTTTTTAGAGTGTAGACTAAAAGAGATCTGTAATGGTGAAACTCCTTTGGCACTGAAGTTTAGTCCAGTATTAGGCTTAAAGGTGAATTCCACTGATTTTTTTAATCTGCATTCCTGAACTGTTCAGATGTAAACAAAGTCATTCAGAGTTGTGTGAAATGTGCTGTTCTAAAGAAACCTGTTGAGTCAGAATTGTTCACAGTGGTGGGGTTGATAGGAACCAGATGTCTGAAGCGTTTAATACCTCTAAAAGCTACATTACTGAAAGTTATTACATTTAATGATTATGAATATGCTGCCCGATGCCTAATATAATGTTTACAATATTTTTTTTAAGATTTTATCCGAAATTGTTATTCTTAGCAAAGAGGTACATGCAGTGTGTTGTAGGGCAAAATAGTGGCTAAATTGAAGTGGAAAATTTGTTTAGGGTTATTAACATTATATATAACAACTCAGCAGATGTGTAGGTTCACTGGTGGTTTTGGATAGTAAATAAAATGACTATGTTTGCAATGTGGACATTGTAACTTTCTCTACAATTAACCATTTTACATCAAAACACTCTGACCAACTTTGTTTACATCTCAGTTTTTTAACTATGCAGAAATTTTGAAAAACATCTTTAATCCATGCCCAGGAAACTGGCCCAGAATGTTATACTATATGTTATATAGTTGATACAGCTAAGAGACATGGCCTTGCTTACACTTGCAAATTGATATCATTTTGCCTCTGCTCAAAATAAAATGTCTCAGATATTATAATATTAATGAAAACCCAGGGTTGGGTTGTAATGGAATATAACTATTTGGAATATGAATTCTGTTATCTGTATTCAGTCCAAGTTATGTTTTGTAAAGGCAGTATTCAGCATACAGTTACCTTTCACATCTTAAGGAGAATACTTTTAGAATACTTACCAGCTAAGTTAAGAAATATATACCATCTTTAAAGGACACACCATCAATATTGTTTATTAGCTATTTTAAAATCAACACAGTGTGTAAAGAAGCACTTTAAAGAAGAAATCCAAGAATGTCTTATGCAAACACTGAAGTTCCTGCTAAAGCCTGAGTAGAGTGATAAATCACTGTGATGAGTCAGTTATTAATCTCAGTGTTAATAAACTTCTTTGAGGGATGACTGAAGCGAACAGTCTCCTCAGTTGTGGACATGTTCATGAATGATAAGGTCAGCTTTGGTATTGTACCGGACTGACTTTATTAACGGAAAATCACATAGCCACTCACTTTACAGTCAAATTAGCAAAATGTGTTATTGGGATATGGAAAATTGTTGGCTTAGGTAACATAATTATGGGAGCAGCAGTGGACTGAAGTGGGCTATGAGAGAAAAAAAATGTTGAGAATTTTGTAATCATTTTGTATTCATTTGAATAGTTGAATTTTAATTTAATTATTTGAGGAATAACATGAATTAAATTTAAATTAAGTTTTTCTCACATTTTGTAATGTATATGCATTGTAAATGTATTTTAAATGTATTCTAAATATGTTTCTTTTTATGTTTTGTAATGGAATATTTTACTCAATACATTTAGGACTGTGTATTCTGAATTTAGCCATCACTACTCTTTCAAAGTATTTTGCCCAACACTGTTAATACCTTTGAGAAATGTGATATAAATCAATGTCTGTGAACGATCTGTGCGCAGGCTCTAGTAATTCTGGCACAGCTGTGTAGTACCAGTCATGTTTCACTAGATGGCTACAGATGAAGGAGTCTGCTCAGAACAGACATTATGTTAACAGAATGCCCAAATCGCCTTGCAGTTCTGAAACACTTGCTTTTGGCCTACCGAGAATAGTTTGCTGTCATTGTATACAACATTGCTCTGATTTAAAGCCCACATTATATTTATTAGATTTTTATTTTTGTTCGCCTGATCCAATGACAGCTTTTCAGGTTTATAGAAATGGACAGGTGCTTTAGTTCAAATGCCAGAGAATGTGCTACATTATGTAAGCTAACTGAAACCTTAGACAAAGAGCGTGTGTGTGGAGGAGTACAGAGGGTGCAGATTCGTGGGCTCAGTGACACAGGTCAGTACAAAACGGGTGTGACCTTGACCTTCTTTCTAGTCCAACCCAGACGCATGAGGCTAAATAGCTAAATCTAATCCCCCTCTCTTCTCTTTCTCTGTCCTCTTCTTTCCCTCTCTCTCCTTTCCTTCTCCCTCCTCTTATAGAATTCCCTTTAAATTAATCAATGTTCCTGACTGTGGTTCCAACAAGATACAGAAGCCTTTGGAAGGTGGAAAAGAACGTTTAGCACAGTTTGCATAGCTACAATGAAAAAAGTAATTCATCCAATTAATTAATTTCCTGTCAAACAGCCATTAATTACAACATATTCATTTTTTGTGTCAGGTAGCAAAAACAGAAAACATATATTTAAAAGGAAATCACACAGAAGCCTCAACAACCAAATTATATATATATATAATGTTTGTCTTTATTACAGCTTCCATTCTTTTCCGGAGACTTGATTTAAGTTTTTCAAAGAAATCAGCAGGGAATTTTCATTTCAGTTGAAAGCTCAGCGAAGTCGGTGGCGTTTCTGGATGCTGTTGACATATGGCTTCTGCTGTGCATAGTACAGTTTGAACCTCCAAGTGCTGATGCAGCAACAGATTGTGTTTATTGATAATGTTTTTTTTAATTATTCCTGAGCCCATGTGGTGATATCTATCACAGAAACATGCCGTTTTTTAAAGCTGTGACATCTGAGGGATCGATGATCACAGGCATTCATCTTAAATTGTCCCTGTCCTAACTTTTTTGGAACATGTTGCAGGCAGTAATTTCAGAATGAACAGATATTTACAAAAAACTGTGAAATTAGTCAAATATTACATATCTTGTCTTTGCACTGTTTTTCTTCAAGTACATGTCAAAGTGGATTTAAAAGTCACTGCTTTCTGTTTTTATTTGTATTTTATTTAGATTTGTTTTTGTTAATATTTATGCCAAATATTAATGGATGGATGTACATTAAGTAGGCATTATTTTATAAGTTACTAACTGGTACTGCTTGAATAAAGCATTATACTGTTTCACATACTTTCCCCAAAACAATGTCTTCTTCTGTTTATGAAAACATGTATTCTATGATATTGAAAACATATTCAGTCATTAACACATAGTCATATCCCAGGTAGTCATCTGTCCTCTCACCTGCCAAGCCATTCTGAGATGATTCCCACACAGAAAGAGGAGAGCATGCCTCCAATGGAGAAGATGGCCACCGAGAGAGACCAGAGAGAGGTGAGTGTGGCCTCGGGAATGGGCTCTGAATAGCGATGTGTCCATGTTGAGTTATACTCTGCTTCAATAATCTGAGGTGCGAGAGTTGGATGCCATGCAAAGATGGAAAGAAATGGAGGAACAGTAAATTAGACATAATGCAAAAACTAGAATGATGATCATTCTTAGAGGAGAAAAAGAAGCACAGTGTTTCCCAGTCCCAGATTAAGCCTAAATGTATAATAAAGATGATTTTCAATGGTGAATCACCATTGCCATTGCAAATAAATCCAAGATTAAATAAAGACTAAATCTTAACAAGGATACACAGGGCCAGATGTATGTACAAGTTCAGTCGCAGCACAAAATGTGCCTGGATGCCACCATAATATGTGCCTGATTTTAAGACTCGATTTACTAAGACTGCAGGTTATCACTCAGACTGCATGAAGCCCACTTACTGCTCACTCCTGAGGAGCAAGGTTTGAAAGACACAGTGAAATGATGGAGCCCTCAACAATCTCATGACAAAACAGAAAATAAAATTACAGTGATGAAGAGATGTGGTGTTCATAAATGAAAACCAAATATATAACCAAAATATTCTAGAGGGGTGCTATTTTACTCCAGCTTGGAAAATAAAGTTTGTAAAGTGATAACATGGACTGCACGCATTATGCGGTTGCATCATGGCCTATTTTGTGTCACATCTTCTTAGATATGTACATCTGGGCCAGAGTGTTTAAACAGTGTTATTCTGATGGTAAACATTCTTACATCATGTGTTCGAGGGTCATTACTTCATCTAATTACTATGGCTGCTGCCAAAGTTAAAGAAAGTCTCTCAGCAACATGTCTTTTGAGACTCTAAAGCTTATTTACACCTGCTTTTAAAAGGTGCAGGAAAACAGACACAAAACAGACACATCTACAACCCCATTTCCAAAAAAGTTGGGATGCTGTCCAAAATGTAAATAAAAACAATACAATGATGTGCAAATCATTTAAATCCTATAATTGAAAACAATACAAAGACAACATATCAAAAGTTGAACCTAAGAAATTGTATTGTTTTTTTGAAAAATATATGCCCATTTTGAATTTGATCCCAACAACACGTTCCAAAAAAGTTGAGACAGGGGCAACAAAAGGCTGGTAAAGTTGTGTAATGCTAAAAAACACCTGGTGGTTGATAGGCAACAGGTCAGTAACATGACTGGGCATAAAAACAGCATCCCAGAGAGAATGAGTCTTTTAGAAGTAAAGATGGGGAGGGGTTCACCACTCTGTGAAAGACTGCACAATCAAATTGCATTCAAGAATAACGTTTCTCAAAGTAAAATAGCAAAAAACTTTTGTTTTTCATCATCTACACTACATAATATCATTAAAAGATTCAGAGAATCTGGAGAAATCTCTATATGCAAGGCCAAAAACCAGTATTTGCTGGCCATAATCTTTGGGCCCTCAGGCAGCACTGCATTAAAAATAGACATGATTCTGTAGTGGAACTCACTGCATGGGCTCAGAAACACTTCTGAAAACCACTGTCTGTGAACACAGTTCATCGCTGCATCCACAAATGCAAGTTAAAACTCTAAAACGCAAAGAAGAAACTGTATGTAAACAGGATCCAGAAATGCTACAACTTTCTCTGGGCCTGAGCTCATTTAAAATGGACTGAGGGGAAGTGGAAAAGTGTCCTGTGGTCCGACAAATCAAAATTTGAATCAGTATTCATGATGGTATAGAGGTGCGTTAGCACACATGGCATAGGTGTTGTGCACATCTGTGAAGGCACCATTAAGGCTGAACGATATATAGATGTTTTGGCAACATATGCTGCCATGCAAATGACGTCTTTTTCAGAGAAGGCCTTGATTATTTTAGCACGACAATGTCAAACCACATTCTGCATATATTACAGCAGCATGGCTCCATATTAAAAGAGTCCGGGCGCTGAACTGGCCTGCCTGCAGTCCAGATCTGTCACCCACTGATAACATTTGGTGCATTATGAAATGAAAAATATGACAAAGGAGAACCAGACCTGTTAAGCAGCTGAAATCCTATGTCAAACTAGAATGGGAAAACATTTCACTTTCAAAACTACAGCAGTTGCTCTCCTCAATTCCCAAACACTTACAGAATGTTGTTAAAAGAAGAGGTGATGAAACACAGAGGTAAACACACCCCCGTCCCAACTTTTTTGGTTGTTGGCATTTGTTGGCATTAAATTCAAAATGTGCATATATTTTTCAAAAAACAATAGAATTTCCCAGTTTCGACATTTGATATATTGTTCTTTGTAGTATTTTCCTTTAAAAATATGGTTTACATAATTTGCATATCATTGCACTGTATTTTTGTTTATATTCTGCACAGCATCCCAACTTTTTTGGAAATGGGGTTGTACTTTACTCCATAACCGGAAGCCAGAGAAGCCGCTGCTCTACTGTACGCCACCATCTTGTGATTTGTACTTGAAACTGGTGTAAGGGCTAAATACATCAGGCCCACAGTGTTGCTGATTCAAAGCACTGTTCTTATGATAACAGCCCCCTTGTGGAGAATTTTCAGCCTGCTATACATGAGTGAGTGAGTGAGTGAATTATAAGAGACTATGAGGTGCTTTGCTCTTCACTTCTGCAAATACATCTTTCTAAATGGTTCTTAGTTATAGAGAAAACATTTAATTGGTATAGAGCTTTTACATTATCTAGAGGTTCTTAAAAAAGGTTCTTCATACTCATACATCTCATTTACATAATTATCTTTTAAAGAATCAAAAAAGTAATTCTTCTAAGCCATTACTCCAAAAAATCCTTTTGACATCTTTTATTTATTTTAAAAAGTGTAGGCCTGACTCATGTCCAGAAACCCAGCCTTTAAAGAAATATGCTTTTCAGCCTTTCAGAGAAATAAAAATGAGTCTGTGTCATAATTTTAATGCAGTGTACAATATTTGCATAGTGGTACTGTATATGGATTTGCATGTGTGCTCATTGCTGGTGGATGGGTTGCATCCTTTAAACTCTCAAATACCTTCACAGTTTGACACAGTACTGTCACAGTAGACCAAACTTTGTTCATAAGTTAAGGTCACTCAATATTTATGAGATACTGCGTTAAAAAAGAGTGGATTACATTAGTTTTTATAAGTAGCATTCATTGTAGACTTGGGTGTGGTAAGATAAACATACAGCATGAGTTTGCTAGGTGCTTATCGCAGTTGCAGCGGTTAAGGCAAAGGCAGGCACTGAACTTTGTGACCTGTAGAAAGTAGACTGGAAGCATCAACTGATTTTCAATTCTTCCCTTGAGGACACAGTTACTTAATATTGGATTACATAACTTAATAAGTTAACAACATAAACAAGATGTATCCCCTCCCCTCCCACTCCATCAGTGGTGTAACAATTCATAAAATACATAATTTGATTCAATATGATTCAGTGGTGTCTCAATTTGATAGTTTTGATACAGCAAAAATAAGGTGTGGCTGAAAATGTGCCTTAATATGTTAATGCTTCTGTTTTCTGTTTATATTATTCAACACTGTAAACATACAATATTGGAAACAAACATTCTCAATCTAACGGTCTAACTACTAGCTAATATGTTAGCCACAAGCTAACATGCTAGTCACGATATAGCAATACGATACAATGCAATATGCTGCAGTACAATTCGACATAATACAGTATGTTACATAACTAAAATCTATATACTTAGAATACATGGAAAATGTTTTCCTATATCAAAAAAAACATTTGAAAACAACTTGGAAAAAAAAATAAAAAATTAATTAAAATGTAAAAAAAATGTAACTAGCTACTGAATAGATAGCAAAATGCAATACAAACTCTAATGATCTGTTTTTAAAGTCTACACCTAATGATTGGCCTCCATACATACTGAGCTAATTTGCTAATAAGGAATATACATCTTAAAGGGCTAATTTCCTACATTTTACATTTTTCCTCTGAGGTCCACTTATGGTGTTGACCAACAGCATCAATATTTCATTTTTGCATTATTTTCTAACATTTCATCAAAGCCAGGGGTGTCCCCTAATCTTATCCACAAAAGGCTGGTGTGGCTGCAGCTTTTCATTCCAAACAAGCTGGAACACACATGATTCTACTTGTATAATCTGTTGGGCCCTGTTTATACCTGGCATTATCTTGCACCCTGGGTGATCATAAGTGAGCAATACTAAGTGTAGATGTGAATGGGGTACAATGAACACTCAAACCACCATAGGAGGTGCTTCAGGATGCTTTTGACCACATTATGTCTGCAGTGTGAACATTAGCATAGGCTGCATTAGCAGTCCATGCGGTCTAAACATTAGTAACACTGACGCGAACAATGACATTTTTGTCTGACAACAAACACAGTGAAAAACTGGCATAGTAAATGAGCGTGGTACCCTTCTTTCAGTCACAAAATCCGATCACATATAGTCACTGGAGACGCTTTGGAGACAAATGGAAATGCGAGTGTAAACAGCCGTATATCTAGCTGTCCCTTAAGATGGATGTTAATACCAAGTGTGAACACAGCCGTGGTTGCAGTCTTCAAACAATTTGTGAATTGCTGGAATGAAAACCTGCAACACGCTCTGTGTGGACAAGATTAGACAGCCCTGCTCAAGGCACACTGAAAATGACACACTAAGCATGACACGAGTAAACAACAAGAATATGCTAAACATTCTGATGCGACTGAACAAACAAGCGCCTCACAAATTGGGCAACCGGCACCATTTAGCCTGCTACTTTGCATTTTGGAAAATTAAGAGGAGAGGGAAGAGTTTCATCACCGCATTCAGCAGCTGAAAGTTTATGTGAGCTTTGGCACATAGCTCAGCTGTCTATAGCTCAGTTTGAGCTGCTTTAAAGATGCTAGCGCCACCTATGATGAACCAGAACACAAACTAATCCTTTTCTAGTCAAAAACTACCAGCTGTTGTGTTGCAGCTGATCTGTCATATCAGTTATCACTAGGGATGAGTCACACTGTTTGAATATTCCAATAGATGTGAAAATGTAATAAATCAAATAATAAATTGGGACGTCAATATGCAAATGAGCTTGACTCTATTCTCATAAAACCATGTGCTGTTTGAACTCTATATGCCATCAGGGGGCAGTGTGGAACCTGCGTTTTATGTTTCGGTCATAAGGCCTACTGTTGAGCAGGATGGAGTTACACACGTGTTCAAATAAATTCATTGACTCATGAAACTGCGGGAAAAAATTGCATAAATAAATGAGACTTGGTATGTAAAGGCCTTTACAATTAAATTGGCTATGTTTTTTACTGTGTCTGTAAGGCTGATTCCGAATAGCTGTCCTGTATTGTGAGTGGGGTTAAACTGCTGTAGGCTGAACAGGTGGATATAGGTAAACATGTTGGATTTTGTGACATCACAAAAAAACATTTTAAATTGTCTGGTTTTGCAGTTTATTTTCCATGTATGGAGCTGGGGGGGGGGCAGTATGTTCTGAAACTCAAATAATATACTACATATACTACATTAAACTCTTAATTCAAATAAGTGAGGACAATTGAGCTTTCCATGATATGAGCCTTTTAATATTTCACTGCCACTGTGGCTGTTTGGTGCAGAGACACTCGAGCTCAAAACGCATGTGTGTGTGTGTGTGTGTGTGTGTGTAGATATTTGAAGCTGTTAAAGCTGCATGTGTCACGATGGATGTTCCACACATACCTTCTGTAATGTTGACATTACTTACAAGCTCATGTTTCATTTTTCTTTTCTGTTTCTTTGCATCCATCTGCTTTCATCCTTTTGTCTGTCTTTATCTCAAAAACATTTTAGTAGAATTAAAAGCTTAATGATTGAACTTCTTCAGTTTTATGAACTCAGTAGATTGTAGTGAAGTTCTGGCACAAGAGCGAAGCTCATGAGCTTGGATGATAGAATAATACTAGGTGGATTAGCTGTGTGTAATGGTGGAGGCATCTGGGGAAATGTCATGGCTAATTCTTAGGTTATCACATGTGATGCTAAAATATACTCCAAAACAAAACACATGTGGGGTGTACTGCATGAGATTTTTCCAGCATTAAGGTTTAACACAATAAGGCACAGGAGGGCCTGCATTCAGTGATTGATCATGGTTTAAAGGTTGGACACAGGAGGCACAACATGAAGTGGAACTTTTATAAAATGGCACTTAAACAAAATATAATAATGTTCAATAAATCAATTAATTTATTATTGAGAATAACCATAGCTCTGGTTGCCAAGCAACATAATGGTCAAAGATTATTCTATGAACAGCACAATAGTTTTAATAATGCATTAATACAGAATTCAATAGATGTGTGCAATTCTTTTTTTATTGCTTACATTAAACGTGGATCAGAATGGTAGAGTACATTTCTTGTAGCAGATAAGATATTGTCATATACAAACATATCAACATGCCCAGTCAGATTATATGTTTTATTGATTTTCTAAGTGAAAATAAGATAACACATCCACTATAGCGAGCCACCTTAAAATTGGTATTAGCACAATTTAGAAGCACAATTTCTGTTTATTTGCTGAATTTAACATATTGGAAACACATAAAACATAAAATGGGCTTTAACAATCACACAGGCCAAATTTTATGTTTTATTTTTTCTCCTATATGTTAAACGCAGCAAGCGAGTACTCTTGAGAGGATGTGTAACTTATTTTCACTTAAAAAATCAACAAATCATATACCAGGGGCACCCAAACTTCTGCTTATGAATGCAGCTTTAAAAACATTCAGCTTACACTTTTAACAATGTCCAACATGAACCCATGTCAGCATTTAAACAAATTTGTTGCAAACATTTTTTTTTTCTTTCTGTAAAACATTGCTAAATACTTTTTACGATTGAATCACACCAGTTTACCAATATAGCCAATATAGTGAGGCTTATAACATTCTCCATTGTCTGTTACAGTTCAGGACTTTGCTAGCCTGTTATTTGATGCTGCTGTTTATTGCTAACCAGCTATATGTGTGTTTCAAAAACTATGTAACAGGCCATTTTCAGACCCAGTGAATGGATGCCAAAAGTGTTTGCTGGTCATGAATGAATGCTGACTAGCAACAGCAGTAAAGGGGGTGGGCAGTTGTTCTATTTTTGTTATTGTATCTGATCTCATTGTTTTGGATATTTTTTTTCCTTAAAATAATAAAAAAAAAAATCACATATAAAAGAAATGCTGGACATGCACATTTCTACTAAATCAGTAAATCAGTTACTTTACCTTTTGTGGGGCATTGATGACTCCAATATTGTATCCAAACTGAAGGGAGCCCAGCACCGCTGTGAACACTGATAGTGCAAGAGTTCCAGTTATTCTCTGTAGAACAAACACATTATTTGAAAGAGATGTTAGGACGTTATATGAGGAGAATAAGAGGAAATTTGAAGTGTTTGGGAATTTTGCAATCTTGTGTGTGCAGCTCTGAACACTCCTGAACACACACTGTGTTTGAGATTGGCTATAGTACATAGCCGATTATACGTAAAGAACGTGGCTGGACTATTTTAGAAGTTTATTTTGACCTAGAAACTGTGAACAAATGCTTATACAAACCTGTGAGTTATTAACAGGAAATTTACAACACACATACTTACTCTCAAATAAAAAGAAATTGTCGCGTGAACTTGATGCCACACATTTCCACTTAGTCAGAGACGGCATATACATCCTTTATTGCAACATAAAATGCAATTGCAATTAACACCAACATTATTTGGTTCATCGTTTGAGTGAAATCTAGCAACATATTATTTTAGAAAAAATCTGTTTAGAATAGTTAAAAATAATATGTGTTCTAAAATTAATACTAATAAAGATTTGGGACTAATAAAGATTTATTTTGGTTTCTATAGGTTTATTAATCTTACACCTGTGACCATGGAAAAGTCACATATAATGTCTACAAAGAACTAATTCTCTCTTAAAATTAACCATGAATAATTTATTGTATTCCCTGCGACGGGCTGGCGACCTACCCAGGGTGTTTCCCGCCTTCTGCCTAGTGAGCGCCTGGATAGGCTCCAGCAGACACTGCAATCGAGGAGGATAAGTGGCTTCGATGATGAGTGAATTTATGGTATATGGATGTGGGTTTGATATAGATAACATTTAATAATGTCAATGTCACTACAGGTCCTAAACAAGCCATGTTCATTTTGAGAAGAAGGAACATGGACTTCATCTTTTACCCAACACAGCCAACTGCAGTTCAAAGGCTGTGGAAAGTTGACGTTGCTAATAACCTCAACTAGCTAAGTTAGTTAGCTGTCTAATGTTAGCTAGCTAATATTGGTGAAATGATTTTAATTCTTGTGTCCTAAACATGGGTGAATCTCTGAATCTCTTTCCAGCCTGTGTCAGGACTATGCTCAGTGTACTCATAGATAGTTACATTTCCAACTTTCTTTAGTTTACAGTGAATGTTTATGGAGTTTTTATTAAATAAATCCATACAGAATGGCTAGTATCTGTTTTGTCTGCAATGGATTTGTGCACCAAAATTGAGTTATCAGCACTATCTTAGCCAAACTACACACTCTAGTATGTATACAGTAGCAGAGTAGAACTGTGTATTGCTGGTTGGCTTTAAAAATGCACTTTCTCCTCTGTTTCTGTTGGTTTGTCCTTTACAGGTTTAACTTGCCACATAATAAAGCTGTCGCCTTGTTTCAGCTGAGGGAAGCATCTGTTTAATGTTGAAACATTTCTTTTTAAATGCTCAGATGTAAGTAAAGATAGTAAAAAGATGGAGATTGAAAAATGTTGGTCCGTATATTATTTCAATTTAATATTTGCTCAAATTTGAATGCAAATGTCCTGCCATTTAAATAAACAAACAAAAACATATCTTAATTAGAGAAGTTTTGGTGGAGCATTGCTCCAAAGGGTAGCCGATGTTTACAACTGAATCTCAGTTTGAAGTAGAGCTTCCACACTTGTCCTTCCACTGAGTGAAGGCAGTGTGGGAACAGACCTTGTTGCTACGCAACACTGTGGCTCTTAAAATGCAGATTTTGGACTGGCAACACTACTCAGCTTCTCCAAAGGTCTGACCAATCAATCAGTTCTTCAGGACATCTGTGTCTGCTTGCACAGACTTATCTATTACAAGCAAGCAAAAGTTATGACATCAGGCTTTAATAATAATCTTCTTCATACAGAGGCGTAACAGATTATAGAGACCATTTAAAAATAATGAGTAAGAATGAATCTGGACTATTAAAACACCAGCTTGCTAGTGGCTAAACTGGGTGTGTGTTTCTATGATATGACCTTGCTTTGTTGAGTCTTGGATTAGTTATGTTTTGGAATTATACCTCAAAACAGTGACGCAGCAAATTACTTGGAAACCACATACTGTGCAAAAGTCAGAGACCACAGTCAAACCACTGTTAAGCACAAGTTGTTCATTTTTCTGCATCAGATAAAACAGCAAACAACATATGCAACAGAAAATTACCCAGAAAACTCAACAATTAAATATACTATAAATGTATCTAGTAATTAGTGCAGTGCTGTCCAGTCTTCTCTGCAAAGTGCCGTTGTGGCTGCTGGATTTCATACCATGCAAGCAGGAGCGCACCTGACTCTACTTGTTAAATCAGTTGGTCTCAGTCTTCAAACAGCTGATCAAGTGTGCTCTTGCTTTGTTGGAACGAAAAGCTGCAGCCACACTGGCCCTTGGCAGAGAAGACTGGACAGTCCTGGTTTGCCTTTATTACAGCTTCCATTTTTTTTAGGAAACTTGCTTTCAGTTTTTCATAGAAATCTCCAGGGATATTTTTAGACACCTCTGAAGTTCAGTCTTAGAATATGGTTACACTTTGTAATCTCACAAAGTAATCTCAAACACGTTCAGTGATGTTGAGATCCGGACCCTTGGGTGGTCAGTCCATTGTTCTGAGAACACCAACAGCTTCCTTCTTTGATTAGCAAATTTTCTTCTTTTTTGTTTGTTTCCTTTTCCCAGTAACAGCTTCTTGACAGCTTCACATCCTTTCAGACTCATAGTGTTGAGCTGTCTTCTCACAGTGGAAGGATGGACAGAAACACTTGTGGATTTTTTCAGCAAAAGTGGAGCTTGATTTTCTCCTCTCTCTCAAAGATGAAAGCTTTAAGTGCTGTTTTGATGGTCTACCAGATTTTTCCACTTATGTTCATTTGACTGTCCCTTCCTTATGAAAGTGGATTATTTTATACTAAATCTCCTCAGAAATATCTCCTAAAAAATAAATAACTTGTACTTAATGGCCATTTTAATTTAAACTAAATGGTCTCTGATTTTGTATAGTACTGTATAAGTCTAAAATAGAGATGGCATGATACCAATATACTCTAAACTCTAAAGTACTAAGCTTTAAAATCAGCTATTTTTATTTAAAGATCTTCACTTAATATGACCATCTGAAAATGGGTTATCATACTCAAACTACTCAAACATTCTCTTAGCCCACAGAAAGAAATACACACCTAAGAACATCAGCCGGATACTGATACCTTGTGTCAGATCAGTCCCATCTCTAGTCCATACTATCATACTTACTACTTCAGTTAAAATAAGCATTTTAGATTTAGGGAGAAACATTACCTGAAGTCTAAAAGTCTTTAGGTAATGTTTGACGTTCTTCACAACTAGATGTTGATCGGCTTAATTTGCCAAAGACTGTTTCTGTCTGTCACATTTAACAAAATATCTCTCCGTCATGTTTAAAGAGTGTCTGAGCTTAGCCCATGTGACTGAGTTCTGAACATGACATCATTAACGCCCGCTTAGCTGCAATGTCCACTGGCCACTGTGCCATTTAACAAGGAAACTGACGGTGGTTTCAGGCTTCACATTGACCTCATTGACCTATTAGCTGATTTGTATAAGTGTGCTGTCAAATTTAGCAAGTTTTCCCTCCATGCACTTAGTGCCACTGTTCACTATTGCCATAGCACGCTTTTGAAAAAACTATCGTTTTTATAACTATCATACATAAAAGTAATGTGTACACTGGCCACACTTGACTGTGTTGCAGGCATGCAGATAAGACAGAACTGCGCAGGTCAGTAACCTACTAAATGAAATTCCAAACAACCCTGACCAGTCTTGTAAGTTTGCTCCCCTTGTGAAGGTCACTCTTCAGTGCAAGCACGGGCCTGACATGTTCCACACCAAGAGCTGCTAGTTTTACACAAATCACACTAAGTGCAATTCAACAACTTCACCACTTCTCAACAACCTAAACCACAATGTAAGTAGTGATTTAAATTTCAGTGAAGTTTTACAGGCTGTAATTGTAACACTAAAACAAGTGTAACCGAGGTGGGCAGGGCTTCAACTACCTGCATTGTAGAGAGCGTAGGATTGTTGCAGCACAGTTTTTCTATGCTAGCACACTCTCAACACTACAGGTTCCACTGGTACTGTCTATGCTGAATACATAAAATGGAAAGTAAAGAACCACTTAATCTGCTTGCTTTGCTTGAACGGAGTAAAAATGGCTTATTACATGACAATAATGCCATGCATCCTAATTGTACTGAGCTGTCTGGAAAGTACTCCTACTGGTCTGCAGTGGACACACCTCCTAACAAGGCAATGAGCCAATGGGCAACAGAAACAACAGGACACGTTGTGACTATTCTCACAGACTGACAGCACCCACTGCTATGTCAAACTAGCAGTGGAACATATACATTAACTCTTCTATTAGACCTACAGTGTCCACATTATCGATGTTACTTTCTCTCCACACAGCCTAGCAGTCTAAAGAAATTAACTCTCCAAAGACAAAATAGCAGTACATTATTTTCACTCAGACCACCTGGTAGTGTAATTACCTTCACTTTAAGACAGGCTAGCACTGTAATATCTGTATTAACTCTCCACCAAAGACAGACTAGAAATGCAATACCTTCACTACTTCTTCAAGGACAAAGCAGCAGTGTTAACTACATTAACTTCCCTCTAAAACAGGCTAGCGTTGTAATATCTAGCTCTCCACAAAGCCTGACTAGCGAAGCAATATCTACTATACCTCTCCTCAACTATATACTGCCACTGAAATATCAACATCACCTTGTCTCTAAGCCAGGCCAGTAAAGTAAAATGAATATTACCTCTTCATAAAAGACTGAAAAGCAGTGCAATAAATATTTACATTAACTGCTACAAGGACAAAGTAGCAGTGTAATGTTTACATTATTTTTACTCTAAAACAGAACAAAACATTAGCAACAGAATATCTTTATTAACTCTCCACTAAAGTCACGCTGGCAGTGTAATATCTGTATTACCTTTTCTTTGAGAACCTATATTACTTTCACACAAAATCTATATTTAATAATTACAACTCCTCAGCGAGATACAAGCACTGAAATATCTTCAGTACCTTTAAGGCAGGCTAGTAGTGTAATATGTATATCATCCACTAAATACAGATTAGCAGTGTAATGTGTATGTTAGGTTTACTGTAAAACAGACTAGCAGTGTGATATACATTACCTCTCCTCCAAGTTGCTGAAAACCAGCCGGCATGATTTGGACGCCAAGAGACTCGGTTCAGTCCTGCTTGCTTTCTTTCTTGCTCTCTGGAGGTCACTTCTCCACACACACTCACGCACACAGACGCGCGCGCACACTCACACACACACACTCACAGTCCACTTGGGTCAGTGGAAAATAAAAGTTACTCCACACGGATTTATCAGTGATATCAGTATGTCACTTATAAATAAAGTCTCCAGCTTAAATGCAGAGAGAGCGGATTCCGGCTCACGGCGGAGTTCCTCAGGTGCAAAATCAACACGCTGGCACGTGAGTGAAAGAGTAACGTCTAACGTCCGTCCACACCGGACGGAGCGACAGCACCAGCGCGCGCACTCGCGCTCCTCGCGTGGCAATGAGCAAGGGGCGGGGCGGGGGGGGGTGAGTATGGTAGGGGGTTGTAGTATGGTAGGAGGGGTTGTGAGTATGGTAGGAGGGGTTGGGGGCGCATCCTGTGGCAAACGCTGGCAGTGGCACCACTCTCCAGACCTTGTTCGAGCTCGTTTCTGACGAATCTGTGCTGACCCTTAAGCGTCATTGGCTGCGGGAGTGAAGGTGCACTGAGTGCACATGCAGAAAGAGCTCGAGCTCCAACAGTGAGGATTTGAGCGGAGCAGAAGAGCTGAACACTCTGAACGATGTAGAAATTCGATCTTAAAGTCTGTGGATACTTTTAAGCCAAGGCAAACTTATTTATATGGCAAGCTATATATATATATATATATATATATATATATATATATATATATATATAATCCAATACCGATGGCAGGAAGCATATATACACACACACACATGTTTTTGTGTTTTTGACATAATGTGAAAATGTTTGTTACCCTTTACATTGTTTGTAAATTTCATGATGAATGGACCAAAAGAATCAGCCCAAAATGGCTTAGAAAAACGTCTGGTTCCATTGACTAGCATTAAAAGTAAAGTAGGTTTTTTCCTTCTCCTGTAAAGTTACCATTTTGGAGACACAAGGTTTTCTTCTGATAACAGTGATATATATATATATATATATATATATATATATATATATATATATATATTTCAATTTATATAAAAACAACAAACACCAACAAAAAAATCTCTATATATTTAGTGCATATATTAATACATCTTTAAAGAAAAATGTAGGCAGCTCAAATTGCCTGAAGATAAAGCGCTGTTGTAAGATTTCATAGGAAACACTTGGTTCGGTACAGTTGTTCTATGTGTTCTAAAATAGAAAAGTGTGCTAGGTTCAAAAGTTAGGGTCAAACCGCATGAGAGGTTAAGAGTGCCAATACTGCCCCCCACCATCCCATTTAGTTAGGACTTGGAGCCAATGGGGTTTGACTGTGCTGATCTGCTTGCTATTGTCCATCTTTTCATCACTCATAAATCCCTTACTATTTTAGAACACATGCCAAAGGGGTCATACACTGAGCCAGCCCCCAACCCCCTTACAACTCACCCCATTTCCACATAAAAAGAATTAATTAATCCTTCCCACACAACAGGTGCTCCTCAATTGTGGATCGTACCACTGCGCCTGAGAACATGGGGGTGGTCTAGGGAGATTAGATCAGTAATGTGGGTGCTGGAGGTTCACCAGAAATACAGTGTTAAAATGTCTGGGCTAGTCCTGTCAATGTCACCCCCGTTACCACCCACCACACACCCCCCTCTCATGCCACTCTTTTTTTCTGTCAGTCTTCTTTTTCTCTGTCCCTTGTCCCTGTCCCCCTCCCTCTCTGATCCTGTGATGTGTCTGATGAACCTGACACCAGTCAGCTGAAGTGAGGCCCCAGCCAGCGTCATGTGTGCTTCACGCACTAAACCCAGAGAAACTCAATGCCGCCCATGGGCTTACTGCTGCTTAGCCACGTTAGTAATGGGGAACTCTGGCCAAAAAATGATCTAAGAAATGCTGAAGATAAATAAAGCATAGCAAACACTGCAGTCACAAATCTTTCACCAACACATTATGCCACTGTAGTACAAATCTGAAAGTTAGACAAGGTCAAAAGGTCGAGGAGACAAAATCTCACTCCTTATTCATTTACACTCTCAGTCACACACCCACTCGCACACAATCAGGGAGGGCATGTGACTGCTGGTCAAACAGCTGACAGCTTTGGTCAGGTGATGGAAATACTTTCATAGATATTAAGTCAGAGAGGACATCACATTCAATGGTCACTTTATACACAAAGTCTGTTTAAAACTTATTTATGGTACCTGAGTACTTATACATTACTTTGCATAATACAGTGCAAAGAATTATAACACTAAGATTAAGCAAGTCATCAACATAGTGGACATTAGATCTAAATACACTATTAAAGGAGCACTCTGGACAACATGAAAAATGTAACCATCATCATATCTGTTGTAAACATGCCTTTTCACCTCCTATGGTGGCGTCACAATAGCTTTGAAAATGTTTTTTCTGTTTAAAGCCTAGGAAGCTCCCCCTTCTGATGACGCATCTTGAATGTGGGAGGAACTCATGAAAAATTACTAGCTTACTAGCTCGTGTATCTACCCCAAAGCTACACTTTGGGGTAGATACATGATAAATACATTTCCCCCCTCTAGCAGGCTAATGCAGAATGAAACCCAGATAGCTAATATAACTGCAAGGAAGCTGAATATCACATCTGTATTTTTAGCCTCTTCATCACTGATACATCAGTGGATTTCTTTATCTCTGAGGGGAATTCTGTTAGTCTGTTCATTTTTTGTGTGACTTACTGGAGAACTCTGGTACAAGAGGAAATAGCCCTGTTCCCGACAGCTGCTCTCTGCATGAGGAAACAGTCTGACCTCCTGTGGCAGTAAATGTAAATTTCTGATCCTCTTCCATAGCTGACCTTCCCGCACATTATGCTGTAGTATACTGGGTTCATTAAAGAGCTTCCATGTGGGATATTCATGTCATGATGTCTGGTTTGTGGTTGTTGACGTGGCTCAGCCTGCTTGGACCGGAGCTCAGTTCTCAATTTTAAGTCCTGGAAAACTATTTAGTTGTATTCGAAGTTGCCTAGAGAAGCTCTGATACTTGCACTAGGTCAATGCTTACTCTCACTATATGTCCACATAAGTGTTTATAGCCTGTTGGTGGTATATACTGTATTACGGCTTGGTTTTGTGATGACTGAAAAAGTAAGCCAGGAGGCCTGTGTAGCCTAATTGTAAACACTCACTCAATAAACACTGTAGCAACATTGAAAGGTATAGTAATTGCTCAGTGATAACAGCTCCTGTTATTTTTCTCTTTGACCACGAAAGTTATTGACATTTTAATGCTGTAGTCATTTTCTCAGTCGATGTAATCTGGCATTACAAACAATGCTCTACAACACTGAATGCACAAAAATGTATGTATACATTTACACAGAGCTACACTGCTGCTTCAAAAATCCCTGCAACAGGAGCTATAATATAAAGGCCTATATATACATTTTCCTACAGCCCATGAGTTCATCATACATTAATAGAGTAGACCTACAGTATAAGGTAGTTGTGTATTCATTAGATTCACTCTGTATTCAACAAACTGTGCCTCTGCAATTAAAATCCATTTAACCATGTCTGAGTCGTGAACGGATTGTTCTTTTGAATTAGATCTTCTTTTGAATTAGAATCATCTACTAATCTGATTCATTTGCCCACCTGATTCAGACTGCTTTAAAGCATCTCCAATGCAGTGTTTGTCTGTCTTATAGGCTGGATAATAGTAATAAAATTTGCGTGTAGTTCAGTTTCACCTCATAAAGTCATAAAGTATCTCACTGTAACATATTAAGGACAATATTTAGATGTGCTTATACATTCTGTCTCTCTGTAGCTGGCTAGCTGTCTTTGCTTGTTACGTTTAAGCAATTCTAATTCTGAATCCATTAGTGAGTAGAAATAGCAACATCCCTCACTGTGCCTAACCTCATGTTGTATGGAGGAGAGCACAGCTGAATTGACCAGTGCCACTGTGCCGGTGAAAACGAAGTTGACTTGACCAATCAATATTATGGCCCTAATGGACTACCTCAGAAACAATTAAGGTTAAGACTGAGATTGAAGTTTTGAAACAGTCTTCATCGCCCCAGACTGGAATATTAAATCAAGAACAGAAAGACTGTTCATTGGCTACAAGAATCTGTGATTTCAGCCAAAGGTGGTCTTACTAAGCACTGACTGAAAGGGTGCCCAAACTTACACACATTTGCTTTTTTTTTAATTATGTTAAATTTAGCAAATAAATAAAAATTGTACATTCAAATTTCCTGAAATATGTCATATTTAAGTTTGGTCCATGCAGAACTTCTTTTCACTTCAACAGAAAAAAATAAATCAACAGAATGTGTCATTTAAGCAGAGGTGGCCAAACTTTCAGCAACAGATTTTTCTCACCCTCTGTTTCTGGCAGCAGTATGTTGAAATTTGACTTAGTATCTCAAAATAGTGAGTTTCATTCTTATTTATTTATTTATTTATTTATTTATTTATTTTGTTATATGCTGTCTCTCAAATGTGTCAAAACAACTTCTGTTAAAATAACCGATTATTCCGATGAAAATACAGATTAAGTATTACAAAATAGTTGCTCATTGTTCCAAAATCATTTCTTTGATTCTTGACATTCAATTACTCAGTAAACTGAGCTTGCAAATTTAATACAAATCTGAATACATTTTCAGACCTGTCAAACCGCGATGAGACGTTTTTATCATTTAACATAAAATGTATCATATTAAATCTGGTCTTTTTGTCACATGGCACTGCTAGTTTTTTGTAAGAAATCCAAATTTGTTTGTGAATAGAAAGTATGAAAACGACACATTATTTGAAAAATGTCAGTAAAAAATGTAATGGGTGCTGTTAGATGTTCATTTAATATACACAAATACACACAATTAATCACTTTTGATGAATCAGATCATGATTTACCCAATAATAATACCTTTAGTTGTTGGACATAAACTTGTTAACCAAACTGAACGTCGTCTCACCAAATCACTGGTGACGCCTTAAGACAGAAGAGAAGACCAAGCAGAGAGAAACAGAAGAATCCTGAGTTTGTCCATTCACAACTCACAGTTGTCGGAGCGAGGCCGCTGATTGGTCCTCTTAAATCCCGCCTAATGAAGCTCCGCCCACCGCGGGAATCACCTCAGCACGCCGTGGTGGAGGATTTAATGCTAATCCACCTCTGAAATTCTCACTAAAATAAAGTTTCTCAGAGTTTATTTTAGCTGAACACAGAAGGCTGAGCTGAAGGTTTTGACTGCTGGAGAACAGAGCTCAGCGGGAGGCGAGGTAACTTAACAGTCTGCATTCATTTGAAAACGCTACCAGCTAACGTTCACTCGGCTAAGTAGGAAGTGGAGAGGAAAGGAAAGTTGGCGTGCAGTTTGGAAAATCACAGGCAAATGAGCAAACAAACGTTTTGTTGTTTTACATGTGGACAGAGTTCAAAATGTAGCTGTTTATCAGTCAATCTACCGGACAGCTGAGGTGACTGAGTCGGCTTTGTTACCGAGCGGCCTGCAACACAGTCAGCCTGGGCCTGTGACCGTAAACAAAGGAGAAAACACATGGAGCTGCAGCGCTGCGCCGCACTGATTAAAAATCACGATGTTTTCTGAACATATCGTGGTTTCACAGTTTTAGATTATGTTCAGTTTTGCACTGATAACGTTAATCAGCTTGTGTTTTCGGAGTAATACTGCTAGGTTCATGCGGTCCCAGTTAAAGGGGAATTCCACCACATTACTGCACAATTTACAACAGTTAACATGCAAACAAACTTATTCAGAGTGGTTTGAAGTGAAATGCTCAGTTCAAGAGAAACGTGCCGAGTCAGAGTTGTTCATAAGTGGTGGTGATGGGAACCAGACGTCTGGAGAGTTTAATGGCTCTAAAAGCTCCATCGTATAAAACTATTACATGAATAACTTACCGATATGTTTCCTGACGCCTGAGGCGTTGTTCTCTGATAGTTTTAAGATGATTTTGACCGGAAATGCATTTTTTAAAAACACATTCATGGTGGAGAGATACATGCAGGCATTACCAGGCAGAATAGTCCACAAATACAACTTATTTTTTCGTTTTTTTACCAATACCAAAATTACACTTAACCCTCCTGTAATCTTCAGATTTACTAGCATCTTTTATCCTTGGGGTCCGTTTGACCCCAGCAATTAAAACCAAGTAAATATCAGAGATCTGGTGGAAATTGTTTTCCTCTCCCCCATGTTGTGTGAACTATCAGTGGTTATAGCACCACTACAGGTATGGTAAGTTAAGTTAGGGCCTTAAAGCAGAGCAAAGTGTTTTTATGGATTATACAATTGCATGTTACAGTGACCTCAGTGTCATCCAAAGCAACCAAAACAAATGTGTTTAAAATGTTTAAATCTCTGTTTTATACAGCTAAAACAGCCTGAGGTCAAACTGACCCCAGAGAACATTGATGTGTACAAAATGTGTACAGGACTTTGACAACATATGTTAATTTTATGTTTACCCAGTTGTCCCCATTAATTTAGAAGAAAAAAAAACATTAAATATGAAGCAAAAAATGGAGGTCAATAATTTGTTTAGACATGTTAAATGGTGTCAGATTGACCCTAAAGATAATAGGATCCTTAAAACTCACAAGACCCCTGGTTCCTATCACCTCTATGTTAAGGAAATCTGTAAGGTTTCAAGTTTCTTTGTGATGCATGATTTAACATCAAATTACTCTGAATTTACATCTTAAGGCCTGAATTATGCAGACATTTGAAAATTCTCTGGAATAAGACTGGGTCAAAGAGAAACATGCTGTATATCTCGGATTAGTTATTTTTTTAGAATGGTCCATCAAACAGCAGTATCCAGTCGACAGCGACCGTGTATTCAAAAACTGACTACTGATGAACGACTAGAGGATGACAGAACTGATAACCAAGTCAAATGCACTGAGAACTCCATGCATGGAAAATGAGAGAGGAGTTAATGGAGCTAACTTTATGAGGTACACCTGTGTTGTATCTACTCATTGTTCAGTTTATCAGGTCCGCGTACTATATAGGTGCACTTAGCAGCTTTGCAGTTACAGATTGTAGTTAATCTGTTTCCCTGCATGCTTTTTGCCATTTTTTTTTATCACGGCTGTGTGTGATCCACTCTGTGCAGCACACACACTAGCACGTCATTATCGTGTCAGTGTCCCTGCAGTGCTGAGAACTATCCACCACCCAAATAATACCTGCTCTCTGGTGGTCCTGACTGTTGATGATTGAGGTAAAGGAAGGCTGGCAGATTGGGCAAAGAAACAGATGGATGGTTCTGGATATCATGAGTAGAATGCACAAAATACATTTAAAACACTAAAAACAAACCGCTTTGCAACAGTAACAGCTTTTATTAAAGACAGTGTTTTTATAGATGTAATGCTCGTTATCTATTAGTACCTTTAACACAGAAAATCAATATCAGTGTTTGTCAGAATCGCAATATACAGGTATAGGTGGTATATCTTCCAAGGTGCCTTACAGAACCACTGTATCTGTTACTGCTGTGGATATGGCAACTCTGTTTGCAGTCACACTTATCTGCCTGTGTTGTACTGGAGATGCATTCCAACACACAGAAATGTCAGGTTTAAATGTCTCTTTCAAAAATGCAATAAACACATCACACAGCAGAAAAATGTGCATAATATGAGGACTGGGGTTTGAAACTAAGGAATTGGTGCTTGTACAGTACTGTGCAAAAGACAGCGACCACCCTGTAACTTCACAGCCAAGAAATACAAGTTATTTTTTTTAAGGTGATATTTCTGAGGAGCTTAAATATCCGATTACCCACTTGCAAATGGAAACTGGAGTTCAAAAACCTAGTAAAATATAAAGAGAAAATGGAACTTAACAAAAGACCTGTTAGACTGCCTAAACTCTCATTTTACCACCCCAGACCTCAGCATCACTGAATATGTTTGGGATTACTTGGATCATGAGAAGCTGAAAGTGCAACAAACTTCTAAGACTGAACTTTGGAGGTGTAGAAAAATATCCCTGCAGATTTCCTAAAAAAATAGAAGCTGTAATAAAGGCAAAGGGTAGACACTGGGCACTTTTTTCTTAATGCTGAAAAATGAATAGCTTGTATGTACTGACTGTTTTGACTGGAAAATAATAAAGCAAAGGTGAAGCTCTCATTTTTGCAACTAACATTAGATCTTATTCACAGGCGAGAGTGAAATAATTCCAGTCTATTTTCCAGTCTAGTATTTTTCCTGGTTGTCTTCATAGAGGTCTAACTGGTAAAGTGTGCCTCCTAGCAAACCAAATACCTTTTCTTTACACTTGTAGGCAGTCAATTTGTACTTTATTCACTATATTTGTTCCTTACATGCTTTTCTAATGATCTGCAATGCCTCCCCTCCCCCGTCCCCATCGCCTGCCTGTTTTCACTGTGCAGGTGCTGAACCCGCTGGCTGGCAGCCATGAGTGACCTGGGGAGTTCGGGGCTGCCCATGAGCCAGGGCACCTTTGAGCAGCTGTGGTGTGACATAGGCTCAGACATGTGAGTTAAAATGCCGAGATGTAATGTAATGTTAAAAATGGTGGAAAGACTGAAAGAACAGTACAGCACTTCAGCTCAAGGTTTTTCTATGCCTTATCATTTTCAAGTTAGAACCATAGCACTGAAACAGTACATGCAGATTAAATTAGTGCCAAACTTTGTAATTTTTCTCTTACATATATGGCAGAATGGGTTGCTAATCGTTGCTAAATTATCTTGAATGTTTCCAACAAAACAAGGTTTATTTATTTCAAGATTAAGTAAAGTGCAGCGAAAATGGCAAGTAGGTTGTTTTGACGAAGTCGATGATACAGGATCAAGACAAATCGTTATCTTTCTTACTATAAATAGGGTGAGATTTTGCATGTTTATGTCAGCAGCAACATATATATCGTGATTAACTCATGCCGTGCAAACATTAAAACCTGGATGTGCATCAACAGAGCTGAGCTCATCTCTTCTTGAACTTAGACTTTGTTGAGCCTGATAGCTTCACGGATTCTGCTTTTTCTAGAATAATATGTAATTGCTCATGGATGGGTGTGTTTGCCAGTGATTGATTTTCTGGGTATTAGTGTGGGTGGAAATGTTTGGGAACTTGTGCGCCAAAAGTCTCTTACACGTACTCTTGTAACTTAACATTATAATCTGACTGAAATGTCCAAGCACAGTAGTGTATAAATGTTTATCTGTGTTTCCATTCAGGGGATTCAATCACCTAATCGCAGAACTGCCGAGAGCTGACAGTGATGCCTGGCTCACTGCTGTGAGTTGTCTTCAACCTATTTATAATAATGCTGTATTGTATGTAGGTCTGGCTATCAAAATTTAATGCTTTTATGGTACTGACCAAATTACTTCAGTACTACCAATTAATGAAAAAATTGTCCCTAAATACCAAATGTCAGTATGTTGCACTACATTGGTCCAGTTTGGTAATGGAAGCACATTTGAGTATATTTCATACATACTAGTATATTAACATTCACCCAATTTCTTCCTCATTGATTTTTTGATTTTGGTGTCAAAATAGTTGTTTAAATGTGAGCTTCTGCCACTATCCTTCCATGTTACACGGATTGTTTTTAAGATTAGAGATGGGTCCGATCCTTTAACGGTATCCCCTATTGACGTTATTCACTCATCAGATATCGGACAGACAGGGCTGATCCACTTACTGTTCCAGATTCCAGTCCGCCGCTTTCACTGGACCATAAACCCTCGTAATATAACATTAGACACGTCACCAATCCATATTCCATTCCACATCTTACCATGAACCGCAGCAACGTCAGTCTGTAACTGACTGAGCAAATAACATTAGCTGTTGGTTTGACTAAAATGTCGTTTGTTTGGAGATATTTTGGACTGGAAAAGCCGAAAAGCAAGCCAGCTACTTGTAAAGTATGTAAAGCCAGTGTGCCGAGTGCCGAGTATGATGAAGTATGATTGCGTCATACATTCCAGCTAGTTTAATCAAGCACCTGCAGAGGTTTTACTTGAAAGTGTACCAGGAGTTCATGCTAGCTAACGGACAGGAAGACACCACCAGGCGGCAACTCTCACTGATGCATTCTAGAAACGTGAGAAACTTCCAGCTGAGAACCCGAAGGATAAAGGAATTACAGAGAAGTTGCTCAACTTCATTATACTTGTGACCAGTCACAGATTTTGTGGCCTGTTGGAGCCGAGGTATAATCTGCCGTCCAGAAAATACATTAAATACATACCTGAAAAACAATAACAATAATAATGTTAATATTGAAGAAAAAGAAAATCGAAATCTGTGTCTGTATCGGCAAAGTATTCCTTTCTGTCTCTAAATTTCTATGTTGGATACTAACTGTCCACCCATCTTATTAGGCTTTGCCCAATGGCACCTTCACTGAGAACTTTGATGAGCTGGAGCTTGCAGAAGTCACTGAGAGTGCTGCTTTATCTGCTGAGATTTTGCCATCTCCGGACAGTATGCCCCCTACAGCGGCGGTGGTGCCATCCACCAACGACTATCCTGGAGAGTATGGCTTCCAGCTCCGCTTCAACCAGTCCAGCACAGCCAAATCTGCTATTTCTACAGTAAGTTAGGAAAAAATAAATAAGATTATGCCAACTTCAGTGCTAAAGTCTGTATTAAAGGTGAAAAGACTTGAAGCATTAAAAAGCACATAAATTAAAGGGCCCATATCTTACATTTTACGTATATTTTAATATTTTCCCCTTTAATATTTTCATCCTTTTATAACATTTCGTTGGCCTTGTGTACCAGAAACAGTCATTATTAATTTCATTACCATTTTCCAGCCTACCTTGAATTATGACTCAGATTGTCTGTCACAGTGCCTTTAAGACATATATGTATATGATCTGATTAGCTGTACTGTATTGTGCATCGTTCAAAAAGCAGTCAAGACTGAAACACTCCTTATAAACTGCTGATAGTCTGCTGGAGGCATATGCATGTAAATGAGTTGGTTCTTGTGACGTCACAAACAGTAAATTCAAAACAGGCTGTTTTTACAGTGTAGTTTCTGAATATGGACTGGGGAGTGAACTGCATGTATTGAAACTGTAGCAATGTTTACATGGTACATCTTTCATTTTAAACTCTTTCATTTAAAAAAAGCACTTAAAGAATTTAAACTGTTGCTGTTTTGTGTGGTAGAACTTTGGCTGCTGAATGAAAAGAGTTCAGATCAAAACTACAGCACTGAAACTGGGCTTATCAAAATTAACAGTTTGGACCAGCTTGAAAAACTAAAGACTGGTCTACCAAACAGTTATCAGTGACAAAAAGTCCACAGGTCTCCTGTTCATAGTGGGTTGTATCATCAGACATATAAAACTTCAAAGTGAGAAATCTGGGAAGGAAATTGGAATTTACGATTAACTTCATTAAGTAAACTTGATTCATTTGAAACCTTCAACAAAAGTCCTGTTTAGTCCCCTTTAATGAGAGATAAGTTGTATCACAATGTAGTTTTCACCACAGCTACTCACTAATCAACTTCCTCTTTCACTTGTCCCACCCTACAGTATTCTACTCAGCTGAACAAACTGTACTGCCAGCTGGCTAAGACTTGTCCAGTTGAGGTATTGGTGGAGAAAGAACCTCCTCAGGGAGCTGTCCTGAGGGCCACGGCTATCTACAAGAAACCTGAACATGTCTCTGAGGTTGTGCTGCGCTGCCCTCATCACCAGAACATTGCAGAAAATAACGAAGGTAGTAGGAGTGTAAAGAATTTCAATTCAGTGTTGTTAAAACACTGTCGCCGATACACTCTTCAATCTTTTAGTCATGGTTTTTGTTCAGAACTAGACATCTAGGTGCATTTATTTTTGTGTGGGTCATGACCTAGACAACTAGAAGGTAGTTTTTATCCATGGAACACTTTTTAGAACCATATTAATTATTTTGATTCTCATCTTGAATAACAAGTACCAGATATTAGATATTTGCTTTTGAGGATTTTCGTTTTTTTTCTCTCAACTTGCTTATAACTAGGTTATATATATTCATTGTAGACTGGATGTACGACAAATAAATTGTACTTACTTTACACCGCTGAATGCCGAGTAAAGTTTTGCAGCTCTGACTCAATTTGAAATATCAAAATCAAGAATTTTAAAATGGTTTTATGATACAATTCTCTGAAGTAAATTTCTCTTACTTTCACAGGTGTTGCTCATCGCAGTCATCTAATCCGTGTGGAAGGCAGCCAGAGGGCTCAGTATTTAGAGGACCCTAGTACCAAGAGGCAGAGTGTTGCAGTGCCTTATGAGTCCCCTCAGGTAGTTCATTATTCCAGCATCTCTAGTGTCAAGCTAGGTCACCACTGTAAAATAAACAACCCCAGACTTTTTCATCTCTGTGCTGCACATTACACAGTCTGGCTGAAATTCTTCTTCATACAAAAACTTACCGTCAGTTTAACATTGTGCTTTTAAAAAATCGTTTTCTACACATTTTTTTTTTAAATTTTGTTAAACATTTTTACATAGTAAACGATGTAGTTCATCAAAGTTAAAGTGTCCAGATATTTTTTGGGGTTGCTGTATATTCCAAACACAAAGAATAGTTACAGTTGTGGGTTTTTCCAACTTTGATATGTTGTTTCTACGGATGTTATGTTATTTTTATCCATTCTTTCTCCTGCTCTCCCTCTACCTGCAGCTGGGATCAGAGGGCACCACTGTACTGCTGAACTATATGTGCAACAGCAGCTGTATGGGGGGAATGAACCGCAGACCCATTCTTACCATCATGACTTTGGAGACACACGAGTGAGTGTCATTTCTTCCTATGCTTCACTGATCCCCTTCTCTCCCCTTCCTTATTTCTCCTCTTTCCTTCTGTTTGTGATGCCTAGTAGACACTAAATGAGTTCCAGTGTCCTAGAATTGCTGCGCTGTTCGACCATACAGTGCTTGCGACCTGCTGTTTTGTGGATCCCAATGAGAGGGCAGAACCATAGATGGCTGTTTCACTTACGAAACCCATAAGTCATCTTCTGTTTAACTATATTACAGCAGTAGAGGCTAAACTGGTATGTTAGAATCTAAAACCGCCATGGTTTAAATAAAAAGCAAAATATATCCAAACTTGCTGTTCTTATTACTTGTTCTCACTGAGTTTGACACGTTTTAAAATATCATGGAGGGTCCGCGGCAGCTCACAGACTGAGGAAAATCGTGCTTCTGAACTGCCCACATTACACAAGTGCTCACGATGGGCGCATGGCGAGCGATTTGTCACTGAGCAAGGGGAAGTCCAAAAACATTGCCTTACACAAGAAAATCGAAACTGAAATCATGTAGTGTGCAAATGGCATAACCTAGTTTACATCACTTTGACCTTCTCTTTCTGTATCTCTCAGATTGCACCTTTTCACCAAAAGTCTTGAATGTGTGTTCATTTTTGTCAGTGGGCAGGTTTTAGGTCGCTGCTGTTTTGAAGTCCGTGTTTGTGCCTGCCCTGGGCGAGACCGTAAAACGGAAGAAGAAAATCTTGGTAAAAATACTGTGAAGACTGCCACAGGAGCTAAAAGAAGTAAGAGACAATAAGGGGCAAGAAGTCAACTACGTAACTGAACATGACCAAGAATGGATATAGTTAAGCTGATGATACTCCCAGGATATTTAATTTTTGTCTTTTTCGTGTATCATATGGTTACTTTCACTGGAATTTATAATATATGTACTAACTATTAAGATAAAGACTCTGCAATGTACCTACACCTAAAGTACAAGAGGAAACTCCTTCAAGGACAACAATGTTTACATTTCATGTAGAGAACACAGTTGGCTCTAATGAGGCAAAAAAGAAGCAGTCTCTGCAAAGCTGGAGCAGTCATCCCTTAAGAGAGATGAGTGGAGACTACTTGCCTCAGTTAATTACAGTGCCGTTGTACCATTTTTACTTGACACCAGGAGCCATTGACTATAAGTGACAAAGAAGTAGATGAAAAGTTTTTCTTTACCCCGAAATAAAGTCGAGAAGCCTAAACATGTTTGGTGTCTAAAGTTTTGTCCTTAAAATTGGACAAAAGTACATTATGTAGTTATAAACAATGGGCCTCATTCACCAACTGCTCTTTCTGAAATTTCTTTATAAAACCCACTTGCGCAGTTTTTGCGAAGATTCTGAGATTTCCCAATGTTTTCTTATTTGGGGTTTGTTTTTAGGTAAGAACAGAATCTACACACACTCGAGCACAAAGGTGTGAAAAATTTCACAGTGAACAACCCGTCATGAATCTGACGTAGACTTTTAACTAGGATCTACAAATTTAAGAAAGAACTTTGGAAGATATTGGTGAATGTTGGGAGCCTTCCAGAAGCCTGTTTTTGTTTCTTTAGCCCGTTTTTATAGATGACAGTCATACACTGTCAGAAAAAACATAAGCAGTCTATTTGAGATTACTTAACAGCTTAACACATTTTGAGGCAATTGTGTGCTCCAGCCCCCCAAACGATATAAATTGCACACACATTTAATCGTGAATGGCCAAACCTCTTCAATAATACACACATTCTATTTCCTTGGCTTACTATAAGTAGATTCCCTTCCTTTTGAAGCACTCAAAGTTTAGCACTTCTGTAGAGTTATTTGTTAAAGAATTAGTGTATTAAAACAGTTGATTAGTCAGCCCATCAAGATGGCAGAAATGCAATTTCTACTAACTAGGCCAGAAACTGTAGTCTTCATCTAAACAACGTTAAATTTTATTTATTTAATTTCCACCCTTTCTCACTTCAGAATCTTCGGTTCTGGACTTGATATCCACCACCCTGAATGCAGAATCGTCCAGCAGTAAAAAGATAAAGATGGATTCCAGTGGAGAGGAGGAGATCTTTGTTTTGCATGTGAGTGGAGCATCCTTAACAGCTTTTCCTAGACTGTGAAATCACCCCCCCCTTCCCCCAGTTTACAGTTGTGGACCTGGTGTTAGTGTAAAAGTTAAAATTTTTAAACAATTTATACATAAACACATTAAAACTTCTTGTTTGTTCATCTACGTTTGCTAGGTCCGAGGTAAAGACAGGTATAATATGCTGAAGAAGATAAATGACAGTTTGGAGTTGATGGATGCAATGACAGCTGCAGAAAAGGACAAGTACAAACAGAAACGGTAAAAAGCTTCTCTTGGTGAATTTTTGTGCTTTCCAGTTATGATTAGCACTTTTTCTCTACTGATATCTGATCCTTAAGCATCTGCCGATAGTGAATACTAACACTAACATGACTGGCTTTTGAATTCTGATATTTATACACTTACATGTTTGAATATTTTATTTTGGTAAAAGCAGAAGCATAATATTAATAATAATAATAAAAATAATAAATCATAATAAATAATAATAATAATAATGTCGATCTTTTAATAAAGGAACCACATATGTGATTCTTTACATGTTTCATATCTGAATTCCTCAAGTCATTTGTCTCCTATGTGTATATTCTTTTGTTAAAGCAAATTAGAGTTCCTGTGTTTGTCCCCCTCTAGTGCATCTAAAGGCTTGACCAAACATGAGCAGGACCTCATACAGCCAAACCCTGGGAAGAGGCTTCTTCTGAGGGACGATAAGACAGACACTGACTGAAAACAAGCTTGCTTTCCTGTTGGTCAGCATTTTGGCTCACTGTAGGCTAAAGTTTGTTTTGTATTGACCAATTTTATTGTTTGCTGTTCAGCTAGCTCACTGCCCTTTTGATACATATGCTTGGAGCTTAGTATATCCAGTTTTCCATTTGGAAGTGCCACGGCTTTGCGCATCATTCTTATACAAACCCTGTGAATTTTCTTTGTGATTTGATAATGGCCCATAAAATTTCATTGAAATGGAATTGCAGGTAATGTGGCATTGATGATCATGTGTTAACTGTTGTAAATTCATTCTCAGGTCAGTTTATGATCATTTTGATGTTAGTATTTCTCCATGTCTTTTTTCTACTTTTGTCATTCCAGATCACTTTTTATATGGAAAGTATTTTTGTAATCCTAATGATGTTTGTTTCTTTTAGACGTTGAGCATCTCATGGAACTCTTGTTGCTTGCTCTGACTTGTGTGATGTGTAGATTAAGGGGATTAACATTTTAACTCCTATTAAGGAGATGACATAAAAACATTTTTTGCACTTATACTTTTGTACTCTTTTAGACTCTCTTGTATGCATTTGCCACACAGTTTCATTTAAGTTTGGACTTCATGCCAGGTTCACTTGGGAAGTAGCATGAAGACGAATGCAGTTAAGACATGCTGTATTATCTATAAGAAGCTCAAACAACAGTCTTTTGATAAAACCTACTTTTAACTCTTACTGGTGTCTCAGCTTACTTTTCTAAGTTGCTGTAAGTTACCTTTTAAACAGTGGTTCTCCATCCTGGTCCTGGTGTAGCACTGTTAAGCACACTAGTATTTTCCTGCTGTAACTCATCCACTTCAACTCGAGGAGCACTTGTTAATTATAGCTGATTAGCTGAGTAAACGTTTTTTGGGAGCAGTAAAAGATGAAAGTGTGCAGGACGGGGTTTCTCAGGACCAAAACTGAGAACTGACTTAAACTGGAATTCCAGCAGTTTTTTCACATCGTAGTGTAATGCAATCAATAATGTTGACAGAATTCATTCAGAGTGGTTTTGAGGGAAAATACATTGTTCTAGAGAAACTTAGTGAGTCAGCTGTTCACAGTGGTGGTGATGGGAACCAGGCGTCTGAAGAGCTTAACACTTCTCAAAGTTACATCACAGTGTTAAATATATGTTGTCTGATGTATTTGAACTTTATGATTGTTTTGAGAGAAGTTGTGGCCTAAAATGTGTTTACAAAAATCATCCGTGTCGAACGGCTGTCCATGGTTTTCTTCTATGCTCAACGGCAGTTGCCATGACGTCACACCAGTTCCTCTAGGATGGGCTAAACTTGCGTGTAACGCTTTTCACCGAGAGTAATTACGACGCCATCCAACTGTCTCAAAAGCACAGGGACGTTATGTGGGGTCAGAGGGGGTCACGGCAGCTCTCGAAAGCTTAAAACTATGTTGGGAAATGAATACTACGAACAGAAAGGCAAAAGCACAGATCAGAATGTCAGTGTCCGAGGAAGACAAGGCCTAAAGAGCATGGCTAGCGGCCTGAATTTAAAAAATCCCCCATTTTGTGATAAAACATAATAAATGCATCAGAAATAACGTTACATTCTGATGAACAAAGCGAATGAAAAATGCACACCTGATGGTATTTTAGTCGGCCTGCGAAATACTTTGCTGCTGCAGTTTTAAACTAATAAACCATTACGGCTTCTGTGGCAACATAACCAATTATAATGTTTCTCAGAGTAAATGCATCTTAGCTGGCTATGTATTCAAGTTTCATTTAAAATCCCTAACCTACCTTCGACAAAACAGCAGCGACGTGGCTACAAGATCTGCCCGGACCAGCGATGCAAGACCATCGTGCTGTCTCTACCACACCGTTTTGAACCGTAACCCATGCTGAGCTGTTAGGTTTCCCGACGGGCTGGCCTGGCTGTACCTCAACTTCGAGAAATATGAACTGTTCGCAGTTGTAACAGAGAACTCTTCCAATTTTATTGCTGTGTAGATAATTATAAGCTTCTGTGCTTTCATAATTTCTCAGCTCCTCATCGTCTACACCTTCAGGAAAACAAGGTAGTTGATAATGTCATCATACGTGACATCTGGCCAGAGTATTATATCGTCAAACCAGACTTGGGAGAGGTTCAACGGATGAAGAACAGACTGGGTGACACCATGTACAGTACTTCTTAAACCTTGTCCTTATACTAATGCTGTTTGATATCCGGTGTCGACCAGAGGAGGATGGGTTCCCCTTTTTGAGTCTTGGTTCCTCCCAAGGTTTCTTCTTCTTGCTCTTAGGGAGTTTTTCCTTGCCACTGTCGCCATTGGCGACGCTCATGGGGGCTTTGGACCCGGATTTTTCTGTAAAGCTGCTTTGTGACAACACCTGTTGTAAAACTTTGCTTGCTTGTCCATGATGCCACCGCCACACAACTGCCATCTTCTTGTATTCAAAAAGCGAAACCTAGCTAGCTACACAGTTTAATAACTGGCTAATGATAAACCTCTTTAGCCTTGAAGCTAATCTGTACGCTATCGGTTGTCTATAACAAACGCATACGGGGAGTCGTGCCCATTCTTCGGTCCAAAGACGCGCAAAGCGTAATGGTAAATGTTGTCTAGGAAAACCGTGGATATGCAGGGTGATATAAGACAAAATACTTCTGAAAGAAAACTTTTATTCAAAATAACCCCTATGTGATATATAACTAACATGTAGGTTTATTGGTCATTTTAGATAGTAAATAGAATGGCTATATTTGCATTGTGTGACCCCTGGTTCTTGTCACCATCACTGTAAAATTCAGTCAACTTTTTCTCACATCAGACCACTCTGAATGACCGTTTACATTTCAACAACTGAACTTTGCAGCGTTACAAGTGGAATTCCCTATTAAGAACTTGATCCAGACAAAACGAGTTAAGCAATGTCAGCATAGTTTTGTGGCTGCACAATGTCTTTTGCTAATCATTGTCATCTTTGCTTATGTTGCAAATGTCTCATTTTCACATAAGCCTTTTAAAGTGCTATGAGCATCTAACCAGTCACAGATGCTCTGGGTGTTTGAATAAATCAAGGCATTCACTTGATCCAGCAAACAAATAATTACTGTTAAGATGATGCAGGCCAACCTTGAACCATCTTTAACCAACACCAGTGTGTTTTAGTAAATGTCAAAATATAATTGCTATATGGTATTTTGTCATACAGCCCTAATTACCATACTGGTTGTCATCACTGGACTTGCTAACTAATTGGACTTTCTCTTCACTTTACTGTTTATTAAGGACCAGACAAAACAAGAAATGAAATGTTGAACTCACACACACATCTAAGCCGCTTATCTTCTTGGGCCGCAGGGGTTGCTGGAGCCTATTCCAGCAGTCTGAAATGTTGGACTCGATCCCTCGATCTACGTCCTTCATTCCTAAAACTAAAGGCCAATAAGGTTTCTTTGCACAGTGCCATAGAAAAACCACTTTTGGTTTCCCTAATCAGCCTTTCAGTGGATGGTTCTTTAGAAAACCATTTTTGTAAATGAGATGTAAGTGAGAAGAACATCTATATAATGTAAACGTTGGGTGAAGAACCATGAAATTGATGGAGAACCTGTACATCCTGTGAATGTTTTTAACCTTTAAAAGGTACTTAAGAGCCAAAAGTGGTTCTTTTATGGCATCGCTCAAAGGACCCTTTGTGGTACTTGCAAATCAGCCAATGACCTATGATCATGTTTAGAGAGCACTAAACTGAGACAGCTCTCTTTTTGTGTCGCTACCCCCACTACTTTCTAAATAGGCTGATTGTTCGACCTTTTATGCTTTTCCATGTTGTTGACTAAATGCAAATACATATCTGGAACGTATTTCCCTCTGCTCTTAGTGCGGGCGTCATACTCGACAAGAGCATACACGCAGAACGTTTCACGGGTGAGGTACATGTAATTCTTGGGTGTCTGTTTTCTTTTATAGCTTTACTAAAACTATAGTTTACCTGTTTTTAAAGCTAAACCTTGTGACAGTCATCCACTGAGTAACGACTGCAGATGATGTTGCTGCTGGGGCCTTTGTTCTTAGCAGGTGAGTTGCTGTTGGGTTTGTTGAGCTGGTAAATTCTCTTTGTGTTTTATGTATCTGAGAAAATGCAGGTCTGTAGAAAACATTAGTAATGCTTTATTTCATGTCTAGTAAGCCTCCCTATGGATAACATTTCTTTTTAGAGTGTACGTTTAAGTGTTTGTAAATACAAAGAAAAAGATATTAGTCGGAAACACACAAGTAAAAATGTACTTTGTTCACAATTATTAGCAGAAGTTGATGGAGTTGGCTAAACCAATACTCAAGAAAAGTATTGTTACTTTAAAACTAAACTAAAATTACTTTCCCACAAAAAGGAGGTGGTATTGGGTTACCGGCTACACAAATCTAAATCCTAGCACAAAACTGGATACAAGCTGCAGTGATACTGCATAAACCATCTGGAAAACAGTATTTTACACATGTAGGGACACTAAGACCACCAGAAGAATCTACTGTTTGACCTGGTGCTTCTTACTCTAGTCTGACTCAACTGTAGTTAGGTATGTTGATCTACTGCGGGCAAAAACAGCACTGCAGTGTGAGGTTTATCTGACTTAATTTTGCAATCTATTGTTTTAAATTAGAATTTTATTTTCACTTAATAATCTCACTATAATTATTAAGATGGTTGTTTTAGTATAGTGAGTAACATCTTTGCCCTCCATGCTGTTAACTGGTGTTAACTTCAGTCCCCCCCACCTGAGCAAACACTCTACACTGTAACACTGTAGTCCTTGGGCAAGACTCCTAACATTGCCTTTGCCTATCTTTATTTTAAAAGAGAAAAAAAGAAGTACACACTGAATAAGAGCGTTAGCCGAAACCAACATAATGTGTTTTGTATGCTGGTAAGCAGCACCAGACTGGCACAGAATTAATGCCGGTCTGAGCTATTTTTTTCCCAGCAGAGTAGAATTAATAGATTTCCTCATTATCCGCAAGATGATTCGCTCATAATGTTACAATATTCAGAAGAGGCGACAGTAGTGTAATATAATCATATTCTTTATCTTTGTTATATATTGATTTTTCAAGGTTGGCTAAAATGTATGAGAAGCACTCTCTCTGCTATTGGACTTTTCTGCCAGTAATGAAGTTCTCTATAGTCGTCCATAATGCTCTTAAAGCATAAAATGATGCTGTTTATTAGAGTAACGGTGAACAGAGGGAGAATCTATCTGCCAAAACTGAACCTCAGCTGATGCTCTGGGTTCAACTGCGGTCTCTTCATCATATACAGCGAAACAGTGGACCGCTGCTGCTATTTAACTTCCACTAAAGGGTTACATAAAATAAATGATTAGTAATTGTAATATATTTACCCCTGGTTTCTGCTTACATGTCCACATTTCTTCCCCAAAATGAAACATCTTTCATTGGATTAGAAAGAAAAAAACGAGTCAGACATTGTGGAAAAAAAGTATTGTGAATTGAAAATATTCAAGAAAGAACAAATGTACATAAATATACAAATCAAGCAGCAATAATAACTGAAGCCTGCCTTAAATACAATTTGTGCTTTAATGTTTTCCCACTCAGTGTTGTTTTTTTAGCATTAATAAATATTTAGTCAGATCATTTTTAGAATCTAAAAGTGACAGGTTTCATTTCATTTAAATGTTTTAAAGCTGTAAAGCTTT